AGGCTATAGAGGCTACTTAAGCGCTTCTTAGTACTCTAACTTTATAGGAGATCCTAAGTAAAGACTAAGAGCAGACAAAAGATCTTATAGAACGGATTAGTAACTTAGATACAATTAGCGATAATAAGGGAGATAGGGTAGAGGAGCTAAGGCGATCGGTACGCCTAAGCTTTAAGCTTATACAAGAGTGCCTCCGGGATACTACGAGACGATTATAGCGAGATTGGTTTAAGCTTATATAAAGTTTACCTACTAACTATATTTACCGACTATAGTACTTAAGTTTTAAAATATTACAAGCTATAACCTAGTATATATATTCTTCTATATTTATTTATTCGATCTAACTACTCTCTTTATCCTCTTATCTATATCGGGCTTATATACAGTTTCTTTTCTAATACCTAGTTTAAATATTTTGCTCTTAGAGTACTTAGTTTCTAGGCTTTTTCTTTCTGTTTACGAAAAATCAATATCTAATAGGTACGTAATACCTACTAGGTATCGTAATATCTACTAGGTTTGTACCTAACCCGATAGGTTAGGTATACCTAGCTAAATACCTATACCTAGCTAAATACCTATACCTATTAGATATTGCTAATACCTAACCTACCCTATATACCTACTAGAGTAGGTTGTACCTATAATAAGGCCTACTCTTTATACTCGTCCTCTGCTACTATACGCGGCCTAACGTTTGTATATACTCTTACTAGGAGGGATAGAGGTAGTATAGGACAGCCGTTCGCAAGTATAGCAATCTACGCTAATATAGTAACTTAGTACTCTAGTAATTCCGCGAGTTAAGCGTTTGTAATACCGGCTAGGGCGCCGGGTATTAGTATCGCTCGTAGCGTCGCTATCGCTCGTAGCGTTACTATCGCTCGTAGCGTCGCTATCGCTTGTAGCGTTACTATCGCTCGTAGCGTCGCTATCGCTCGTAGCGTCGCTATCGTTAGTCGTTAGGTTAATATACCGTACTAGTTAGTATATAGCTCTCTACCTATCTTATGTTTATATCGAGCGCTATATACTTGTTTAGTAGCAAGACAGGCGTACTTACCGTATATATATCCCTTGCTATAGTTATACTAGATTGTACTAGGCGGCGCTATAAGGCGACGTCTAGACTACTGCTAAATTAGCTATTAAGGCTCGCTATTTCGGCGCGCGAGCTATATATCGCTAGTATTAATCAATCCTCCTACTACTAGCGGTATCGCGTCGCGGTTATTAGGGTTAAGTCTCTCTACGAGTATTAGTTTACGCTATAAAGTAGAAATACCTATATTAGCTACATACGAGCGTACCTGTCGTACTAAGCCGTCTAAGCGCTTACGGAAACGTACTACGGCCTCTAGTACTCGTATTGCTAGCTCGCTATTATCTAGTATACCTAGAATATACTAGAATGTATCGTAGCTACGAAGTGTTATTACTTTAATACCCTCGAGTTTATAAGAGTAGGCTATACCTATTGTCGTCGTAAACACGCTAGTATATACGCTATAGACGTAGTAACGATCGTTACGAATATGCTCGCGCTCTACGTCTAACTTAGCCTTCTGCTTGTATATATACTAAAGCGCGCGGATTCTAATTATAGTATTAATACTATAATAGAACGCCTTATCGACAAACTGCGTTAAGGAGTTGTTCTATACAACTAATAGCATAGTATTGTATCTGTCGATATAGCTATTATAGAAGGGCCCTAGCTTTATAAAGAAGGTAAGCGTATCGTTACGAGCGCTCTATATCTATCGTTTAAGCCCTACGTAAGCGCCTTCGCTAGCAGACGAGACATTATAGCTATAATAGCGCAGTTGGTTTGTCTATACCTTTATATACTTCTCTTTATATACCTACTAATACTTCTCTAGATAGCGTACTATCTTAAGCTATCGCTATAGCGTATTCTTGTTGTTATCGTTGTCTAATACGTACTTGCTAAGTTCGATAGGCCGCGTAATCTTATCTACCTCGTCGTCTACGTCTACGTCTATATCTATAGCGCTATTAGTACTATTAGTACTATTGTCCGAAGCAGGCTCTTCGCTACGCTACGCTCGCTCTAGTAAGGCGTTATAGGCCTCGTCGAACGCATCCTCGGTACCTGCGTTACGATATACCTTATAGAGTATAATAAACTCGGTAGCGAGTTTGCTAGCGACGTAGCGTATACTGTCCTCGCTCTTCTACTATCCGAATATCTTATATACCTATACCTCGACAGCTGTATCTATATACTAGGTATAGAGTATAGACTAGATATATAGAAATATAGACTCAAGCGCGTTTATTGTAGCTCTATCGCGATCGTAAATAATAATATCCGGCTCGTCGATTTCGTACTCCTCGAATAGGCGCTATAGTATCTTAAATGCCTATTCGTATCTATTAAACGTCTTATCTAGTATTAGTATATACGCTAGAGGTAGGACAATACTAAGGCGTATAATAAAGTCGAAATATAGTAGTAGCAAGCCGGACGAATAAACGTTATAAGTATAGTCGAATATTAGTATATACGTATTATCCTTATAGATACTTACGAGCCGAAGGTACGCGAAGAATACGTAGCGTAGCCTATTGCCGCTAACCTTATAGGCTAAGAAGAAGTCGTTGTCCGTAAGCTCTAAGAGTACCTTGTCTACTAGCGTAAGTATATTGATTATAGTATACCGAATACGCGCGAACTCGTTGTAGATATCGCGTAGTATTAGTACTACCGCTATATCTAATAGACCTGCCTTAGTAATAAACTTATCCTTTGCTATAGTACGCGCTAATTAGGGAGACGCTCTATTCTTGCGACAGCTAGCAATAAATATAACAAACCTATTATAGCGCTCTTAACGGCGGAAGAAGGCTAGTCTAGCTAATAAGATACTAAGGTAATTATGCTTAGTATATTAGCCGAGCGAGAACGTCTATTCGGTCTCTAATAGGTTGTCTTTATTAAGGGCGTAAACAGTTATTGTCGCCTAACAGTCTAACTTCTATATATGCTTCTTCTTTAATAGCTAACGGCTAAGGACGAGTTTGTTCTTCCTATTACCTTTAGCGTACTTAAGTGCGTATTTCTATACCTCGTCGCTACTATTGTACTTTCTACTACTATTCTTTGTCTAGCTAAAGCCGTATCGCTTACTATACGCGTTGATGTATTAATAGGTATCTGACTCTAAGGCGAAGCGCTAGATACGCGGTTTCGGAATCTTATAGCGTATAGTAGACGCTATAGTAATAGAGGCCTCGTCCTTAGTCTCTATATCGCTCGAAGTATCGTCTTCTTCTTTAACAAATCTAGAGCTAATTCTAGAGCGATTAGCGCCCTCTTCGCTATTATTACCTATACTAAGTCTATCTCTTTCTCTACTCTATAATTAGCTCGGTTTAAGGGTATTAGTCGCTACTAGGTTAGTTTCTGAAATCTCTATGTCTATATCTGCTTCCGTAGCTATAACATCGTCGTCGAGGAGTATATTAATAAACTCCTCTAGCTCGGCGTCTATTAGTACAGCGCGCGCGAGCGTCTTATTAAGTATCTCTATATTAATATATAGACTAATAGTAGTAGTAACGGTAATAGTAATAGTAATAGTATTAAGATAAAGTATAAAAGTATTAGAGTATATAGGTTATATAACTACTCCGGACTTTGTATAGCCTAAGGCCTTAAGCTTAGCGTAGGCCTCCTACCGTTTATAATTTAGGCTTCTGCCGTTTATAAAAACCCTACCTTCGGCTCTACTAATTACTATAAAGCCCTCTCTCCTATCGCCGTCCTTAGGTAGACGATTAGATAGGCCTAGCTTATAGTAGGTCGCGGCGTAGCTCTATAGTAAAAGGAGTAGGATAGGTAGAGAACCGGTAGGACTTAGGAATAGCTATAGGTAGTAAAGAGAGTAGTATTAGAAAGCAAGGCATACTATAAGGTAGCGATATTAATTATAGTAGAGTAGAGTATATATCTCTCTACGTCCTAATTATATCTATCCTATCCCTATTATAAAAAGAAGAAAAGTACTCTATATAGCCTACTACTAGAAGTAGTACAGCCTATCTAGGCTACCTAGCTCTCGGCTCTACCCTAATACTCTATATAAAAAAATACGCCTAGTCGCTTAATAATAGTATAGTATACTACTAATATTATAAATATAGTATATATTATAGATAGTAGATATAGCGACGTATTATAGATATAGTAATATATTATAGATATAGTAATATATTATAGATATAGTAATATATTATAGAATAGATACAAGATTAGCTAATAGAAAGGTAGAGAGATACTATTAATTATAGTAGGTAATAGAGTATAGTAATCGCGTTTTTAGTATAGAATAGATATATTAAGAAAATTCTTTATAAGCAGACAAGTATACCTAAGACCTTATAGCCTAAGGTATTAAGAGTTAACCCTAAGAGGCCTTCTACTATATAAAAAAAGCCTTCTACTATATATAAAAACCTCTATTTTCTATACTAATTTCGAAAAGTCCCTTCTTAAACCTATAAAATTAGATATTTAAGTATAATACAAGCTATACTTATATATTGTATGTCTTTCTATATTAAAGAATACAATCCTATATAGAAGTTTGTTTTCCTATAGAGTCTATCTAAGTAGGAATAAAAGTCTTCTAAGGATATAGTCGCAAGCTGCCGGTATACTATCGTACGGTTCGTTTAAAGAAAATATTAAGCAGCTTCTTTCCTATTTCGTGCTTCAGTTCTGTACTCGGTACCCTCTCGTACGGTTCGTTTAAGGAAGATATAAAGTTTCGTACTTCAGTTCTGTACTCGCTACAAGTCGGTATGCTCCTGCGATCGCGCGGAGATGTCGATTCTACGCTACTTGGAGAGGATAGATGCACTCGTTCCCGCCAATCCCAAGGTCTCCTCTATCGTAACAGATTAGTCTTCCGTATGCTATTCTCGGCCGTACAATTACAACATAGATCAGCACTAGGAACACGGATATCTCGTGCTAGACATTGTTGATTTCTTCGTCTTCACTTGCGCTATCTTCTACGAAATGGTCAACATCGACAATACTGTCGAGGCTCACGTTTTGCTTCTCAACCCATGCTCTGACTTTGCTCTTCGACACGACGATGTTCCCACTAGCAGTCTTCCTCTTCTCAAAGACGTCCATTTCTTTCAGCGCGACGACAACATCTTCGGGCATGATCCACGTCTTCTCTGCCAGATCCTTGACACTCAATACCTTCTTACCATGTCCTCCGAGCAACACTTCTCGAGCGACTGCTCCGGTCCAGTATTTGACATAGCTCTTTCTCCCATCCGCCGATAGAGGACGCTCGGGGCCGCCGAAACGGTTCTCCCGTCTGCCCAAGACATACGATGCTGCGATGAGGATTTGACCCAGACCGCGCTGCTTCCAGGGAGGAAAGACTACGATGCAGGCCAGGTTGTTGTTATCCCATGACATCTTCTCTTTGGAGAAGAAGCCGACGACTTCGCCATGGGGGTTGGATTTGCTGGATGGGTCACGAAGGACGAGAGTGTAGAAGAGGAAAGTGGAGGCGTCGAAGAAGACGGATTTGGTCTCTAAGAAGAGTTTGGCGAAAAGAGACAGGTTCTGGGCATACAGCTGTGCACACTGTCAGCACCGACAGGATGTGGCGATGTCCTTACCCGTTGTCATACTTTGTGCTCTTCTCCATCGAGCTTGTGGATTGCATAGTTGTCCTGGTCGTAGATGACTTCGCCGTGTGGTGGCTCTGATTTCATCGGGCAGACTTTCTTACTGCCATCAGCTCACTCTGCGCAACACTCACACACATCCCGTTCCGGTATGGACCTACACAGTGCGCGCTGTACTTCAACAGCTCGTTGGTGTATTTGAAGCAGCTCTGGCAGACATACAGCCATTCCGTCTTCTTCCCGCCGACCATGTCCTCCGGGTAGAAGGACGGGTAGTCAGGCTTGATGTGGTGCTCGCCCAGCACGATATTCCTCACATTCGGCTCCATCGGTCGTCTGGTGGCAGGTCGATGCGGTGATTGTAGGCCGACAGAGACCACGGGCGTCGTAGACACTGCCATCTCGGCTGTTTGCGCCTTCCGGCGCGTGCGTGCAGCAAGCAAATGTAGGAAGACGCGACATGGAGAAGATGAGGTCAGACAAATGGCTCCGTCTTGGCGGAAAATACTGGGATGTACCTGATACTACGGGAACTTCACCTCCCGCTACCTCCTAATTCTTGTCTACCTCTTACTCAAACTTGAACAGCATGGACAAGGCACCTCATTCTCAAAGCTGATGGAATTGCTCTCTATAGTCTCTTCAATCTACCAATTGCTATTGACGGTATGACGGAGCCACAGCTGGACTTATAGAGCCCGAGAAGACTCGTGACGACACAGGATTGGATGGAGTACTACCTGCCAACTACAGCGCTGTATGTCTATTGAAGCTTGAATGCTATCTGTATCTCCTTCACGGCGCTTGGTAGCTCTAGGCACTTCGCACCCTGATGGTCTTATGTGCTAACCTCAAATGAAGAACGCTTGCTGATGATCAACTGAGGGCTCAGAAGTGGCCTCGGCGAGTTGATAGATTACGGAATCTATAGCAGACGACTTCTTCAAGTCACGCCTGCGTGGAGCATGAGATCTTGTTCTCTCTGTCGATCTTCAAGTCTGGTAACCCACCGTCTGGCGCCGCGGACGCTGTTATCGAGGCTTCTTTTTATGATGAACATCCCGCCTGTCGCATCAAGGGCGGCCCCGTAGATACGACTCCGAAGTTCTGTTGCGATTGTAGGAGTTTACATCTCTGCGTGCCTGCAGGCAGCATTTGAGGCGGTAGCATCATGGTCTCCTTGTGCAGTAGCTTCCGTAGATCGAGGGATGAGGTTTACGTGCGGCGTCTGAAGTTGTGATACCGCCATCACATTGCGCGCTGTATGTATTTCGGAGCGACGAATGAGAGTAAAGCTTGACTTCTCCAAGCGCGATGCCAGCAATGGCGGTATCAACATTATGGTGTGCGCTGTGCGGTTAGGATTCAGGTCGGAACCTCTGAGGTGCAGAAGAGAAATTACTGCTTCACCCAGTAGCGCAAGACCACGGAAAAGCCGTTTCCCGCATGCGGTGCATAGAGCGCACACAATTGGCGCCCAGGAGTGATTCACTACTCGTTCACGCGAACGTCTGGCTCTCGCTTCGTAGATGATCTTCGTCATTAGGAGACGATGTACCCGGTGCTTTCACCAGACCCCAATCTCCTTGCGCTATGTCGTCGGCTTTATACTTGACCAGAATGCCTACAGCGATAGGGCCCAAAATGGTGTTCAGCATGATTGCCCAGATGGCAGTCAGGAAACCTGCCTGCGAGACGTATGTCGTGTTGTTGTACCCAATCTCAACGATGAGGAGGCCAATCTCTCCTCGAGCAACCATGGCCATTCCTAGGAGAAGCCCCGGATAGACGCCACCTTTCATCCTGGTGATCCGAGATCGACTGTCTGCGGTCTCAGCGTTCGGCTTGCTCTTGTCGACCTTCGGCCCCAGAGAATATGCCCAGACCGGAATCCAGATGCCGACGAGAAACTTGGCAATCAGCATCAGCAGTGTATACAGCAATCCGCGCCAGATGGCAGCTCCAGTCCAGAGGTCCAGGAATGGGGTAGCGAAGCCGATACTCGCGAAGAACAGAGGCTCGAGAATGTATACCTGGAAGTCCAAGCAATAGTACTCGAATGTGTGAACGAACGTAGGACTTTTATCCTTCTCTCTCTCTCCTTCTTCCCTACTCATCACTACAAAGGGCCCATCCGGCGTCTGCGAAGGCAGGTATGTGAGAAAGACTCCGGCCAGGAAGGCGCCGAAGAGAATGGAGGTGCCAGCATATGCTGCGATGGATATGAACGCCGACAGGATCAATATCATGAAGACGATGTTGAAAAGATGATCAAACCTGTGAAAATATGGCTCGATGAATTTGCGGAACGCTGGCGCGAGTACCCATTTTGACAGAACAGGTGTGAGTATTGTCATCAGAATGGAAGCGACAATCGGACGACCAATGAGCCAGCCCAGATTCACTCCGCCTCCGCTCCCGATGCTTCCCAGATCGTGTATCACACTCGACATCACCAGACCGGAGACATCATCCAGAACAGCGGCGCTCACGAGGATCGCTCCGACACGAGTTTGACTGAGGTCAACGCTCGCAGCAGCACCCGAGATCACCGCAAAAGTCGTTCCGAGCGAAGTTGCAGACAGCGAAGCTCCAATGATGAACGTCTCGACGGCACCATAGCCATATCCGAGATAAAGGAGCAAATAACTGAGTCCAATAGGCAAGATGACTCCAGTCGTAGCCCCGACAACGCTGAGCGTGAGATTTGCACGTAGCAGATCAAGCCTGGTGGAGAGGCCTCCCTCGAAAATGATCAGGATCAGACCAATATAGCCTAGATAGATGAATGTTTCTTGCCAGATATGTTCGAGAATATTGGCCAGAGGGGTGCCATAGATGATTCCGACCAGGATGGGTCCAATGATACCGGCTCGAATGATCTTCTTGGAGATGTAGCCGGATACCCAGAGGAAGGTGAAGAAGGAGATGATGATGAGAATGTCCACAACTATGCACGGACCAATGTCAGTAAGTGAGTCTCCATGGCGTGCGGAATCCCTACTGTAGACTTACTTCCTGGCTCTTCATACTGCAGGAAACGACCGTTTGATTCCGATCCCCCAGAGTCAGACATGGCTCACTTGTAAAGGGCTGTGGCCATCGTCCGTTCAATGGAGGATGCGTCTGTTCTTGTAGAACAAAATGGCACTCTTGGCGTCGGACACGGTGTGTCACTGCGACACAGTGAGTGGCGATAAGGCTGGTAGTGGGCTTGGCAGCAGTCTAGCGGCGAAAGCAATTGGAGGGCGACAAGAGACTGGTATGCAAGATTTTCAACGAGCCGGATGAAGACTAGTCAGGTAGGTGAATGGTCATGCATTGGAGCAGACAGTGGAGAAGCCTGAGGATGTGAATGGACTATGGAGGAAGCTCCGGGGGAGACGCTAGACACTTCGGATCCGATAAGGCACGCGGTCCGAGCCACTATGGATGGACCCTTCGTCATACGGAGCTGTCACCTTCACATGCGAGTGTCACTTGACCATCGCTTTGTGCTCCACCATACCTCCTCTCCTACCTTCACGCGCTCACTCCAACCTGTACACCCTACCGACTCAGAAACACCGACCATATCCACCGACGCTTCTTCTATCCTCCGCCATTCGAGCATGGCAAGCCCATTCGCAGCGACGAAGCCTCCCGCCCGGTGATCGCCCTATCGCGGGAGGTGTTTATAGACGGACGTTTCCTTGAACCTTCGACCGCAACACCGCCGACACCTGAGCCTTTGACTGCAATACCAAGGGTACTACTGATAACTGATCATGGGCGATATGCTAGCATCACGCGTGCTGTCGCGGTTCTTGCCCGTGGCTGAGGGCGATGTTTCAGTCTACGATGGTATGGGACGCAATGCTGTCAGGCGCGGCGGCGACGTGGAGGCTTTGAGACATCATGCATATACGGATGGCTTCCAGGATGACGATGACGACGACGACCCTGACACTTTTCTTTACGACGGTGCGGGATATCAGCCTACCCCGACCGATCCTGACCAAAGCCCTGAAATGATGGCAGCGCAGTCTCGGCAGAAGTGGCAGATTTCAGCTGCAAAGAGGAGAGGTATGGAAGACGAAGACGTACCGGAGTCGTTGCTGTTAGAACCGCGAGGCAAGGCTGGGCCTAGTAGACAACACTCTAAAACCCCAGCGGAGGTTAAGCTTGCCCGCGCAGAGGCCCAATGGAAGGCATCGCAAGATCAGCCCGGGCCGTCTAGGTATGCATCTCGGGCACCCCAATCTTCGCGTCCGACATCGCGGCCTTCGAGAGGTACCGCGGCAACCAGACCGACACTACGGCCGAATCCGCAAGCAGAGGCAACTTGGTTGTACACCAACGCACACAATCTCGATGCATTCCTGCTAGAGGTCTACCAGTACTTTGTCCAGCATGGCGTGTGGTCTATTTTACTATCGAGAGTCCTGACGCTGTTGACCGAGCTGTTCGCTTTCAGCTTTACCATGTTCCTCACCACCTGTCTCGACTACTCAAAATTACCTACGAGTAAGTCAACTGCTGAGATTATGGTGCCCAAGTGCATGGCGAAAGCGCCGTGGTACAAGAGTACCGCGCTTTTCTTCTTCACCCTCTACTGGCTTTTCAAGCTTCTCCGGTACACTAGAGATGTCAGGAGGCTCTTCCAGATGCAAGACTTCTTCCAGCATGTGCTCGGGGTGGGAGATCAGGATATTCAGACCGTGGCATGGGGAGAGATTGTGAATGGCCTTGTCAAAGTGCAGAATGCAAACATTGCAACCGCCGCCGATCCTTCTGAGCAGGGTAGAAAGTATCTCGATTTCAACAAGCCGCGTCAACGACTGAACGCAGAGGCTATTGCCAATCGACTAATGCGACAGGACAACTACTACGTCGCTATGTACAACAAAGACCTGCTCGACTTCACGCTCCCTGTTCCATTCCTCGGCAGACGTCACTTCTACTCGAGGAGCTTGGAGTGGTCGATCAACTTTTGCTTCACTAACTTCATCTTCGATGAGACGGGTAGCATTCGTACATTTGTGCTTGACATCAAGCAACGCCATGCGCAGGTCGAGGCACTGCGAGCTCGTCTTCGAATTGCGGCATTGGTCAGCATCATCGTTGCGCCCTTCACGATCGGATACAACGTGATCTTGTTCTTTTTCAAGAACTATACCGAGTTTACCAAGAACCCATCACGAGCTGGCGCCCGCACCTTTGCGCCGTATGCGGAGTGGAAGATGCGGGAGTTCAACGAGCTTGATCATCTTTTCCGGCGTCGACTTCGCCAAGCACATCCATTCGCCACGGAGTACCTGAAGCAGTTCCCCAAAGACAAGACAGACCAGGCCTTTCGCTTTGTGTGTTTCGTCGCAGGTTCTATTGCCGCTGTGCTCACCATCGCGACCTTGTTTGACCCTGAACTGTTCCTTGGCTTTGAAGTAACGCCTGGCAGAACAGCTATATACTGGCTTTCCGTCAGTCTCGGCGTGTTTGGCTTCGCGAACGGATCCTTGCCCGACGACAACGATCTGCATGACCCGGGCTTTCACATGACAGAAGTCTTGCTCTACACGCACTACATGCCGTCTCACTGGAAGAATCGTCTACATAGCGATGAAGTGCGCGCTGAGTTTTCGGGCATGTTCAAGCTCAGACTATTCGTGTTTGCGGAAGAGCTTCTGAGCTTGATCGTAACGCCGTTGATCTTGTGGCAGAATTCCGGAAAGACCTGCGAGCGGATTATCGACTTCTTTCGCGAGCAAACGATTCATATTGATGGTATCGGTCACCAGTGCAATTTCGCCTACTTCAATTTCAAGAAGCGGAATGATATCGAAGACCCAGCCACGTTCATCCCCGAACCCGACGGACTACGAGACGATCACTACGGACTGAAGGACGACAAGTTGGCAAGCTCGGTGCAGAATTTCATGCACTATTACAGCCATTACAACAATCGTCAAACGCCACGTCGGCAACAGGGCTGGCAACCACCGCCTGTATGGCCCGGTGGTATCCCCGGTGGTATCGCAGAGGAGTCAGGAGACGTACCACCACGACATGCTCAGCCATCGATTCCAAGTCCCCGGAATCTCCCAACTTCTGCGCTTCGCTCCCCCAGGCAGGCTGCGAAAGACGTCCGACGTTACGGCAAGCGTGATCAAACTGGAAGGAGTACGTTCGGTGCCGGTCATCTGTCAGACGTGACCGAAAGCCGAATCATGGCACAAGATAGTGATCTTAAAGACTTTGCAGATGCGCCCGGCATCCCAGCACTCGAGAGCGACACTGATGCCGACGAAGGCGATGTACAAGGCACGCCAGGAATTCTGGGTTTGGCAACACAGTACGTGAAGGCACACACCGAGAAGGCTACAGGACCAGTCAGTATGACATAATACGTTACGGGAATAATAGAAGAGATGAGGAATAATAGAGGTTTACTAGGCATAGCATAGGAAGAATTAGTACTGCTCATTTCGATGTCACTACCTACTCGTTGCATCTTTGCATTCATATACATCTTATAGTAATATCCCCAGTTTCTTTTGATGGCCCACTTAGAACCCCGGCGAAGATTGTACCTCGCATATGCGCAGGTTATTCCCCCAGGCATCGAGCCTGATAGCAGAAAGACTCCAACTTCAATACAAGTCTCACAGCGTCTGCATATTCGAGCAAGAACAGCCGATGTTTTCATCCTATAATTCTTTTCAATACATCATCACTTGACAAAGAGATGAAATGTTGACTTCCTGGGCTCCCTACTTGATGACAGTGATTGTGACGACGATGGCGGTAGCTTGTATTCACCGCCAGTTGGCAACTGTTCCCCTTCGACAGCACGCATACGATAGACCGCAGAGAAGAGTACCGGTACTGCAAGAAGTAGCACGTGCTCTCTCTCTCTCTCTCTCTCTTTCTTTCCTTTGCTCCTGAGGCCTAGGCCTTATCCAATTCGATCATGTTTTGGAACAGACGTGATGGCGGCGTGGGTTTGCCAATATCTGCTCTAGAAGGGGTTGTAGAGTGTTCGCTACAAACTCGTAAGCGTTGCTGTTTTGTGTGAGTCAAATGTCAAGTCAGCTCAATGGGCTCAGCGGCGCCATGTCCGGGGGAAATGAGAGTCCGAGGTGAAGCATTAAGCCCTACACTTCGTATGGAAGAATAGGTATGGGCGACTGTCTGTCTTTCAGTCATATCTACCTTTACGGCTATATCCAGCGCTGGCCCCTGAAGGCGGAATCCTCTTCGGCAGCCAAAGCACTCTTCCTACAATGGACTATTACGCTGCATAGAAACGCCTCGCTAAAACCAATCATCATGACACTCGTGCTTGGCCTCGTATGTCTCTTTCACATCATGAGATCCTCGTCGTTATCAAGGTCCGCTGCATTGGGCATCGTACTTGACGCATCCCAAGTGAGGTCCATGGCATCCGCAGGATCACTGTCAAATCCACCACGCGCGGCGTTGCGTCTGGCGTGTTCAACGTACTCCTTTGTGAGCTGCAGTCGACGATCCGCGTCGCGCACCTGTGTAACTAGAGCTTGTATGCGAAGCGTCTGGGCTTCCAGGTCGCTGTGAGATTCTGAAGATGTGGTGTCGTGGAAGCGCAACACGGTGTCTGTCCCAGCGCCCGAGAGACTTGCGGGAAGGTGGCCCTCTTGCATCATGCGCTGTAAGCTCTGCAACGCGTCGCCAGGTGCGATGTCGAGGAGCTTCGCCATGCGAGTGACAGGTAGGGCAGCGTAGGTCTTTTGCAGATCGATGATCCTGTAGCGCATACAAGCATCGACCATTTCTCTGACAAGTCCCGCATTTCCGTCTTCTTGCACGTCGCGCCAGCCCGTCTCAACATCGGCTTGGAGCTTTTTGAGATTCCGCAATTCGAAGTCGAGGGCAAACTCGTCATACATCCTTGATAACGTCTTGAGATGCTTGAGGACGACCGGATCGTGCGTCTTTGGTTCTGGATAAGGTTTGCCTTGTACGATCAGGCCAACCATCAGCCACTTTTTGTATGCTTCGACCTGCAATGCACTGGCAGTGTGGGATAGAGAAGGCGAAAGGATGACTGCCTCGAGGAATATTCTTGCGCGGTGCCAGATGCCCAAGCCCATGTAGATGGAAGCACCAACGAGGTAGTACTCCAACACTTGCGGAGTGTCCATTCTTAGACTGAAGCCACTCTTTTCTGTGATCCATGCATTGCTCAGCTCATGTTCATCGCTGGGCAGCTCCTCTGGTACACCCTTCTGACTCCTGGCAGGCAAAGCGTAGACATCCTTATCCAGTATGGGAAGTGCCTGACTGGGAACACTCCGCGCCAGACAGAGGCGGACCACTTCCAAGTGCGGAGTGATCAGTGTGCCAGCGGTAGGGTCCAGACGTAGCAGGGCGTTGACGACGGAAGTCAGATCGATATCGTCATTCTGAGTGACACTGCCAAGCAGCCAGCGCCATAGCTTCAGAAAGTCGGTACCGGCATAACGGATTTGCACGGGGTCGAAGGTGGCGAAGAAGAGAAGCGTGCGAGTCTCAAGCACATCAAGATGCTCGTGGTCATCGTTGCTGCTGGCCTCGAGTTGTGCGACCAGAGTGCGGAGGTAGGCGATGGAATTGACGGCAGGGTCCAGCAGCTCGAGCAGGTTCTGCTTCTCTACCTTCTGGGTGTATGTCGTCTCGTCGATGGTCTCCAAGCTCTTCAAGTACTCGTGGATGGCCTTGTCGTAGGACTTGGGCGTGGTGACGGACTTCTCGGGCGGAAAGGCCAGCAGGATGGGCAGGACGTCGGCCATTGGGATCGAGTGTTTAGCGGGATAGAGGGAGCATGCTTTGATCGTGTTGGAGAAGACGTCTTGGACGTTGGTGTGCGGGTGTGCGAAGGAAGGTCGAGTTCTAGGCCTCTTCTCCCTAGGCCTCTTCTCTCTAGGCTTTTTCTCTCTAAGCCTCTTCTTCCTAGGCCTCTTCTCCCTAGGCCTCTTCTCCTTAGGCCTTTTCTCTCTAGGCCTCTTCTTCCTAGGCCTCTTCTTTCTAGGTCTCTTCTCTCTAGGCCTCTTCTTTCTAGGTCTCTTCTTCTTAGGTCTCTTCTTTCTAGGCCTCTTTTTTCTAGGCTTAGCCTCTTTCTAGGCCTCTTTTTCCTAGCTTCTTCTCTTTAAGCCTCTTCTCCCTAAGCCTCTTCCTTCTAGGCCTCTTCCTTCTAGGCCTTCTCTTCTTCCTAGGTCTCTTCTTTCTAGGTCTTTTCTTTCTAGGCCTTTTCCTTCTAGGTCTCCTCTTCTTCCTAGGTCTCTTCTTTCTAGGTCTTTTCTCTCTAGGTCTCTTCTTCCTAGGCCTCTTCTCCCTAGGCCTCTTCTTCCTATCTTTTCTTCCTAGATCTTAATATAGAGTAGAAGGAGAAGGAGAAGGAGAAGGAGAAGGAGAAGGAGAAGGAGAAGAAGAAAGGGAAGGAGAAGGAGAAGGAAAAGAAGAAGGAGAAGGAGTAAAAGAAGGAGAAGGAGAAGAAGAAAGAGAAAGAAGAAGAAGAGGCCTAGAAAGAAAAGACCTAGAAAGAAAAGGCCTAGGAAGAAGAGACCTAGGAAGAAGAGACCTAAGAAGAAGAGACCTAAAAAGGAAGAGGTATAGGGAGAAGAGGCCTAGAAAGAAGAGGCCTAGCCTAGAAAAAGAGGCCTAAAAAGAAGAGACCTAAGAAGAAGAGACCTAGGAAGAAGAGGCCTAGGAAGAAGAGACCTAGGAAGGAGAGGCCTAGGGAGAAAAGGCTAGACCTAGAAAAAAGAGGCCTAAAAAGAAGAGACCTAAGAAGAAGAGACTTAGGAAGAAGAGACCTAGGAAGAAGAGACCTAGAAAGGAAAGACCTAAGAAGAAGAGGCTTAGGGAAAAGAAGTCTAGAAAGAAGAGACCTAGGAAGAAGAGGCCTAGAATAAAGAGGCCTAGAGAGAAGAGACCTAAGGAGAAGAGGCCTAGCCTAGAAAAAAGAGGCCTAAAAAGAAGAGGCCTAGGAAGAAGAGGCCTAAGAAGAAGAGGCCTAAGAAGAAGAGACCTAGAAAGAAGAGGCCTAGAAAGAAGAGGCCTAGGAAGAAGAGATCTTTTCTTTCTAGACCTTTTCTTCTTCTTCTTTCTAGGCTTCTACTCTTTCTCTTTTTCCTTCTCTTTCTCCTTTTTCTTCTCCTTCTCCTTCTCTTTCTTCTTCTCTTTCTTCTTCTCTTTCTTCTTCTCTTTCTTCTTCTCTTTCTTCTTCTCTTTCTTCTTCTCCTTCTTCTTCTCCTTCTTTTCCTTCTCCTTCTCTTTCTAGAATATAGAGTAGAACGAGAAGGAGAATAAGAAGAAGAATAAGGAGAAAGGAGAGTAGAAGAAAGAAAAAGGGAAAGAGAGAAAGGAAGAAAGAGAGAGAATACCTATATACGTATATCTAGACGTATATCTAGAGAGAAATTTAGAGAATAGATATATACTAGTAAGTTTCAAAATCGAAGTTCTTAGAAGGAAGTTTCCGAAACCAAGATTTGGCCTCTTACTAGGTTCAGAGCTCCCTAGGAGATACCCTACCTAGGTACCTACCTTACCTACACTTCTATGTATGTCAGATGCCTGCGACAGCTTCACTGACTCGTCGACAAACGTGTTTTATCATCTTAGAAGAAGCCTAGAGAGAAGAGGCCTAAGAAGAAAAGGCCTAGAGAAAAGAGGCTTAGGAAAAAGATACCTAGGAAGAAAAGATAGAAAGAAGAGGTCTAGGAAGAAGAGGCCTAGAGAGAAGATACTTAGAAAGAAACGATAGAGAGAAAAGACTTAGGAAAAAGAGGCCTAGAGAGAAGAGGCCTAGAGAGAAGAGGCCTAGAGAGAAGAGGCCTAGAGAGAAGAGGCCTAGAAAGAAGAGGCCTAGAGAGAAGAGGCCTAGGAAGAAGAGGCCTAAAGAGAAGAGGCCTAGGAAGAAGAGGCCTAAGAAGAAGAGGCCTAGAGAGAAGAGGTATAGGGAGAAGAGGCCTAGAGAGAAGAGGCCTACTCCTATATATAAGGTATCCCTTTTCTCTTTCTATATATAAGATATTCTCTCTTCCCTTTCTATATAGGAGGTATCTCTCTTCTCTTACTATATAAAAGGTACCTATATCTTTGCTTCCTACCTAGGTACCTAGGTACATCTCAATATATATAAATATACATACAAATATAGACGTAAATATATATATAAATACGGATATAAATACCTATATAAATAAGTACGTAAATACGTATAGAAATATATGCGTAAATGCGTATAGAAATGCGTAGACTATAACGTAAGATTGAAGATCGAAGTTTCCGAAACCCAAGTTTCCGAAAACTAAGATTTGGCCTCTTGCTAGGTTCAGAGCTCTGTCTCTCCGGCTAGTAAAGCTAGTGAGTGGCCGGGGCACCGGCTAGTCGGATACCGAAGAGCCCAACCCTGCATATGCCTCGCCCGCATGGAGAGCTTCTGTCAATAATAAACTCGTCTGATGAGATGGTAAGACGTCTCGCTTTTCTCTCCATGTCTTAAGACTTGATCTGACCGCGCATACTGGACACTCATTTGCCTGCCTTCGTCCTCGTCAGCGTACCATGGCCACGCCTCGCCACTGCAGTCGCTACAAAGACGTACTGCTCTCTCGAGCCAACATCGAAGCATTGATTGCCACAGGACGCAAGGTGGTTATCCTCGATGGAGCTGTGTTGAAGGTGGACGCATGGCTTCCATACCATCCGGGAGGCGACAAGGCTATCCTTCATATGGTCGGCAGAGATGCTTCGAACGAGATCAAAGCCTTCCATTCGCAAGAGACGCAGCAGTTGATGCAGAAGTACTGCATTGGCAAGATTGAAGGCCAATGGACGGACTTTGTGCCTCCGATACAAGGGGGTGAGTTCAGGACAGAGGAGCAGCAGCGGGCAACATCATCATCAGTGGTAGAAGAGCAGGACGAGGAGGATGAAACACAAGACTCGTCGGCAAGCTCCCAGACATCCTCGCCACTCTTTGAAGCTTCAGACCACGACCAAAGTAACATCCGCAGGCGGAGAGGAAGCTGTGCTGGAGCGAGCGAATCTTCTGCAACATCGCTTGATACGCTCGCTATTGGGGAACCAGCGATACATGACAAGAGGGAATACCCGGCAGAGGAGCGAACACAACAAGAGCGTGACCATGACCTCGCAACATACCCCTCACTGGACCAGAAGACGCAGGCAACAATCATACACAAGTACAAGGAACTGGACGAGAAGCTGAAGGCTGCTGGTCTGTATAGCTGCAACTACACAGCCTACGCCATCGAAACAACACGTTACACCCTCCTTGCTTGCTTAGCTTACTACTTTCTCCAAAAACAATGGTATATCCTCTCCGCCGCCTTCCTGGGCATGCTCTGGCACCAACTCGTCTTCACTGTCCACGATGCAGGCCACATGGGTATCACCCACAACTTCCACATCGACAGCACCATCGGAATCCTCATTGCAGACTTCCTCGGCGGCCTCTCATGCTGCTGGTGGAAACGGAACCATAACGTCCACCACATTGTCACAAACTCCACCGAACACGACCCAGACATCCAACACATGCCATTTTTCGCTATCAGCCACAAATTCTTCTCCAACTTGACATCAACATATTACGACCGAATCATGACCTACGACCCTTTCGCACAATTTGTACTCAAATACCAACACTATCTGTACTACCCCATCCTCTCCTTCGGCCGTTTCAACCTCTACGTCCTCTCCTGGCAATACATTTTCTTGGGTCAAGGTCCTCGCAAAGGTCCCGCCTGGTGGCATCGCTACCTCGAAATGGCCGGCCAAGCTTTCTTCTGGTACTGGTTCGGCTATCTCGTCGTCTACAAATCCGTAGACACCAACCTCCATCGCTTCCTCTACGTGCTGGTCAGCCACGCCATCACCATGCCCGTACACGTACAAATCACGCTTTCTCATTTCGCCATGTCGACTTCAGATCTTGGCGTGGCGGAATCTTTCCCGCAGCGCATGTTGAGAACGACTATGGATGTGGACTGTCCGACGTGGCTGGACTTTTTCCATGGCGGATTGCAGTTCCAAGCTGTCCATCATCTGTTTCCGAGGATGCCGAGACATAATCTAAGGACTGCGCAGAAGTTTGTCATGGAGTTCTGCGAAGAGGTGGGGATTCCCTACACGATTTATGATTTTGCGGAAGGGAATGGAAAGGTCATTGGGAGGTTGGGGGATATTGCAAAACAGGCGAGAATCATGAGCGAGTGTCAAAAAGCAGCGTTTCGGGATGTGATAGAAGGGCATTGAGGAGCCAGACAGCACAGCTTGATGATGAGTATGCAGGCATGCTATAGTCCTGTGAGCGGCAACGAACAGTACGTGTGCGTGTGTGTGTAGATAGACACAGGGCTTGCAGAGGAACGACTCCAGCTCCCATTCAATCAGATCTGCGCCATTTCGTATTCCTGGCACGAGAATTTTCGTTTTGCACTAGGCAAGGCAGGACCTTTGTCGTCGCTTGCCCCTAGTCAGCGAAGCCAATAAGCTCTGCTGACCATACTGCCTGAGCAACCGAATGTCTTGATAGATGTTATTGCCACATCGCCATTCCAATCAGCCTCACAGATCGAGCAAATTCCTATACTCCAGCACCAGCTATTTGGGTAGTGCGAGTTGATGAAGCCATGGCCGCCATAACGGCTTGCATGAGTACAACAAATCTGCAGTGACTGGCATTTAATGTGTGAGAGCAGGCGCAGCGAAACTTACAAGTACGATGTAATCAATCCTCGAGCGACACCGCAATTCATCCGTCGCTAAGGTAGAAACGTTCTTGGGCACTTTCCAGCGAGCAGCGATTCCAGAAGTTAGTTTCCGGCCCTCTCCTCACAACTGCCCGGACACACAGACATCCTTTTCCTGCTGGTCCACAAAAGGATGTTGTACGCCCAGCTTACACAGAGTAGTGGATAGTGCAACCCCAGCGAATCTGTGGGTTTCACTTCGTCCTTCACTTCGGTACCGAGTGGAGTGCGTGAGTGAGTGAGCTGACAAGCAGCTGAAAGCTTGTGACGCCAATCTCGATAGCGCCCGCTGCGTCGAAGCGAGAACAGGTTAAACAAAAAAAAGCCATCGGTGAGCGCCACCGAGAGCGGTACGCTATCACATGCCATCGGCCATGTGAATACGGTGATGAGACTCATGAGAGGTGATTCTACGGGTTTGGTACGGGTACTAATGATAGAAGGAATACGGCTGAGAGCATGGGTAACATATCAGACATACCTGTTTTCGATGAAGTTCCTTGGCAGTTGACATCTCGTGACTTCGTGACACCCTGTTGTCTCGCTAGCTTTCGTCTTGGTGCTGTGGAAGATTGACCTGGGAATGTGAGTCTGAATGTCTGATGATATGGGATTGCCTCTTCATGTGAGACAACAGGTGAGAAAAGAACAAGACCCGGCCATGACGATGGATGGAGGTGCAATTAAGGTAGTTTTTTATAGCTGGAAAACGTGTCAACCATAAACCAGTACCTTATCCCACTTTTTCGACGCGATAGTCGTGATCCAGGGTCCATCCGGCTGGTGCATGCGTGGGTTTCAGGAGGGCCATCAGCAAAGCAACTCTTATCTAACTCACAAACGCGACGTCGCATAAAACTACTTGACAATCTCAATCGTCTCTCTGACTACAGGCTCCTTTCAGCGATCTCTCACCGGCCACGTGCCGAATCCTCAGTACTGCCTGCCATCCATTGACATCCGCCGTGAACAAGCCGTCGAGAAACTTTGTGGAGGAGATCGCCCGCCCCGCACCAGAAGCAGAAGCATACGATCGCAAGCAAAGCAACCATGGCCAACGGAGTGAGCTTAATACCGTTGTTCATCCTGTTTGTGGTGGTGGGAGCGTTCGCCTTCGTCGGCTATCAGATCTTCCTCTGGTCGGGCGAGCTCACGACCAAGGGCAAGGAGAAGATGGAGAAGAAACACATGACATTCAAGGACGGCGGACTCCAAGTGGGAGTGAAAGACCGATCGGCGGAACAGGCTGCGGATAAGGCGCAAAGGTGAGTTTGTCATCGAGAGGAGAGGAGAGAATGCGAGAGGGAGAGAGGACAAAACCACTTAGCTCAAAAGGAACTCATCGCTAACCCTCGACACTCCCTTTTATTTTTCTTCTTCCCCCAGCGTCCTCGTCAACGCCTGGCAGAACGCCGAACTGCCCGCATACAAATCCCGTCTGGGCTGGAACAACACATATCAAGACCCCAAGAAAGCAAAGTCAGGGGGAGGAGGCGCATCAGCAGCAAAGAGTAGTGCTACATCGCCTGTAGCGGGTGTTCCAGGCTCGGCTCCCGAGCATCGACCAGGCGCGAAAAGAATCCCAAGTACGCCTGGTTCGTGGTGATGAAGCCAGCCAGCCAACCAACCAACCAACCAACCCTCCTCCTCCCCTTACGACCCACGAACGAGCGATGTGGATTATCAGCGATGATAGGTGATTGAAGACGGGGAGTTTACGCTGGACATGGAAGGTAGGTATTGGTGGAGCAGCACGAATGGACAAAATCTGGGAAGAAAGAAAGAAAGCAAGCAAGCAGCTATGATACATCTACACCAAGGGCTCTCTCTCGCACGTCTATGGTCGCGAAAGTACATGCCTACCTACCTGACAGCATCAGTCAGTCAGTCAGTCAATCAGTCAGTCAGTCAGTCAATCAATCAGTCAGTCGTCCGTGTCTACCTGACTACCTGACTACCTGACTACCCTTTTGTGCCTGCCTGTCTGCCTGCCTGCCTGTCTGCTTGCTCACTAGCTTTCTCAAGGTACATCTCATTACATGATAAATACTACCTTCCCTCACCTCTCCTCAACAGTACCTACCCCAGTGAAAGCTCGGCGCATATGCCCCCTTCCCTTACCTTCCAAGTTCCCTTACTTTACTTTACCTGAAACCTGATGCCTCGAAATGGAAAAAGGCCGTTGTTGTTGCTGTTCTTGTTTACAAGATGACCATTCTTCCATCTATCCACTCTACACCTGGTAGGTTCCACATCCTTAGATTACTGTGACATGTGCACATGCTCTATGATCTCAGAAGAAATATACAAGTTCCTCGGCACAATGTCATGTATTAAAAGGTACATGTATGCCCGTATTGAGGGTTAGGTGGGTAAGGAGCTACGTCAAGTGTTGGAGCTTACCTCATCGCTCTTTACGTAGGAGGTACCGTAGCAGCAAAGTATGGAAGGGACCTTACCCACCTACCACGCACCTTCCGCAAAGGTTACAATGTGCACATACCGTATTAGGCTATTAATGAGCACACTCTTCACGAGCTCAAACTAAGGTAGTAAATGCAAGGATTCATGATCGTTGATGGGATAGATTCACAGTATATGGTCGTTATGGCGGCAATATGGCCGGCAGGCTCAACTTGGCAACTCCCTTCGCTCATATCCAACCCATGAATTCGTAACAACACCTCCAGCGCCATCGCTAATTGAGCACTGAAAATATCCAAAAGTCTACCGAGCTATGCCTCTAGCGGTTGCTTCCCGATTCCCCGCAGGTTATGAGAAGTTATGCTTCAGTGTAGTCTTGTCCAGAGTGCGAATCGTTTGCATATCGCGGCTAGCCTCAAACCCCAGCTTGGATGTGGGAATGTCATGCAGAGCGGCGCGAGCGGCAGTGCCCGGGCTTCTGCTGCTGGCACGAACCGGGGGCGGACCGCCTTCGTTGAGCATCGCTGATATGCTGGGAATGGTTTGTCCAGAGGATACGACGGGTGGCGATGCGCCTGCGGAAGCTTGGGGCTCTGACGGCGACTTCAGATCCGACGATGATGAATGTTGGCTATCCGCGATCTGCGCAGAATCAGATGCTGCAGGTGTGGGTTGTTGCGTTTGTGGTTCTGCCTGCTGCTGCGATTGCTGGCCATACGAGGGAGTAGAGGGGTAGGGCGGAGCCTGAAGTGGAGGTGGCTGGTACGAAGAATGCGCCGAGTGGTAAGTGGCGGGTGGAGGTGGATAGCTGTGCCCATAGCTGCTATGCGATTGCCCATAAGGAGCTGATGGTGGCGGAGGAAGACCGCTGTTGCTCAGTGGCGGCGGTGGCCTATCAAAAGCCGTCATGGCAGGTGGTCCGCCATACGAAGTCGGCGGCGGTGGGTAATGCATGCCATGTGCATATGGACCATGCGGGTGGTGATAGTATGGCGAGTAGGCAGGAGGCGGTGGCGGAGTATGCATCGGGCTGGGTGGCGCCCAACCTGGGTGCGCATAGTACGGCCGACCATACTGAGTGGGTGAATGCGTGTAGCCTGGATAGCCCATAGGTCCTCGAGTTACAGCGGGAATGTTGCTTTGCTCGTGCACGGTCGAATCTGGATACATGCCCTTCTCCGGTCGAATGTGCCTGAGCTGCGGATCGTTGGAGGGCGCCATCAGACCATTCGCAGCGGTCGACGATCGAGAGAAATAGCTGATCAAGTGCAGATGTTGACCTTGATTGGTGGTAATGCTGAACGACTGCTTCATCAGACCATCGGGCTTGTAGCGATACCCGTCTGGCCCGCCATCGGAGTCGTTTTCCGGGCCCATCATGCCGTCGCGATTGGCATTCTTGTCGAAGCTCGAGCCGCCACGTTTGCCTTCCATTTCGCGATAGGTGAGAAAACTTCCCGAAACGCGACTCGCGGACCAGGACTTTCCGTCCGTCCATCGTCGCATGCCAGCTTCACGCTCGTCCCATACAAAGACAGAGCCGGACTTGATAGATTGCCGCTCCTTTTCGGACAGACGTCGCTGCACACGTGGGAGCAGTCCGATGCGACACGCCTCAAACAAGATGATGGCGTCTGCTGGAGCTCGCACATGACCATGATAGGTCTCCATGCCGTTCATGGTGCGGTAGAGCTGACGAGGCCCAAGATGACAATCTGCAGTGCTGTTAGGAGGTGCAAAGGCAGGCAGAACTTGAAGGGAGGAAAGTGACGTACTTTTGATCCGCGTCGAACAGCAGCGAGTAACAGACGGGAAGGTTCTCGTGTGCGACGGAAAGTCCGACGATATGCACGGTATGTGGTATTGTAGCACACGGGTTGGTGGGAAGAGACTCAAGAGAGAGGGAGAGAGAGAGAGAAGCAACAGCAGCAGCAGCAGCAGAAGCAGGGTGTTTGGGGTGGATCATGGATAGAAGGTTAGAGTTAAGAATGAACTAGCCGAAAGTATTGGCGCGACGCATAAAACTGTGCTTGGCGGACTAAAACTGCCTTGTACCGCTCCGATCCGCGCGCGGCGTTGTAAGGAGCGAGCGGAGGAAGCGAGAGGAAGAAAGAGAGAGAGCCCTAGAGAGAGGCAGAGAAAGAGGCGTTTGCTGCACAGACACAAGAAAGAGACACACGACATGCCGAGGGTACCACCAGGTATGTACCCACTGATGAGATGAATAAAACACCCCCTCAGCGCCAGTCCGACAAACTGACTGACAGTGACTGTCACGGCACGATCAGCCGCTATGGGCTGGTCCTGGCGGCCGAGGTGGACAAGCGAACAGCAAGTGTCTTGTACATTCTTGTGTAGTCTTGGCTCTGTGACTCTCTCTGTCCGAGCCGTCCCTCACACGACACGTTTTGTGGCGGCCCAGAGAGAGAGGCTTGCATTGACGTTATCTCTAGCCTCTAGGCGGGCCTCGGAGCGTGGTGGCTCTCTCTCTCTTTTCTCTCTCCTTCTTTACTGTGGCCGACCGGTGGATGAGCAAGAGAGAGAGACACACAGGGAGAGAGAAAGAGAGATCCTCCTGACCGCGGCGCTCGTATGCAGTGAACCCGTACCGATGGCTGATGATGATGATGATTGCACACGGCAACACTAAGCGACGGGCATGACCAGCATATCGTATGCTTCGGCGAGTGTGGACAGTCCCCGACTTAGTCTTACCTCCTAGTCGCATGGTATCAATCGCAGCTGGAAGCATGGAAGTACGAGCTGCCGCTTCCGGACGCTCGATCCAACAACGGCTTTGCACGACTAGCGGAAAAGATAGCCGAGAGAAAGAGAGAGAGAGAGAGGAGCATAATCGTGCTCAGTCCTGGTCAAGACTTTTAACCTTATACTCTAAAACCTACCCAGGCGCTAGGAACAGGGAGGGAGGGAGGGCTGCTGCTACTGCTGCTGCTGCTGCTGCTGCCTCCCACACCCGAGACGGAAACGAGATGGTGCCTTTGCCAACGGTGAGCAGCAGAGCAGGTCCGCGTGCGTTTATACCCACTCCGTATCTGCAGGTGGGTGTAGGAGGTACAGTATGGCGTCTCTGTGACTTCTTCTAGTTGGGCCTAGTGCAACGACGATCGTTTGGACTGGCTGAATCTTCGATGCCCGTAATGATGGCGAGCTGTGTATGTTCAGCATCAGCATCAGCCTGTTCTTCGCCATGGTTCTCTAAAGTTGCTATGGAGTCTCGGGTAATGTATCCCTGCTGTAACCACTCCCTTGTACATCTCACAGCCAGCCAGGATTGTGAGAGGAATTTGCAGTAGCGTCCAACGAATAAAAAAGGTACATGATGTGTACCCTATAGGAAGTACCACGTCAGCACAAACAACAGTCTCGATCCAGTAGTAGCCGATAGGGCTATCTTCTGTAGATGCATAATAATAATAATAAGACTCGGTGTGCCCTAAGAGCGCCTCTCGCATTCTTGGCCGTATGCATACCGTGATCATCGGGACCACCACATTGATCCTGTTGAGAATACCAAGCATGTCTGGCAGTGTGTGCCTCCAGGATTCAGCACCAATCGTATCTCTGGGGTGTGTTCTGAGCTATCCGATCCTGCGGCAAGCCAACTTCATAAATATGCCGCACATCGTTTGATGACAGTCTTAATTATAGGTAAAAAGCGTCGCTTTCCAGAACAACATCCAATCACCATCGTCGAATATAATATACGACTGACTCTCCTTCCAACCTCGTACTCTCGGATATAGTAAAAGTCGGTAAAACAAAAAAAAAAACCAAGAAAAAAAAAGAAGATCGGACGCAGCGTTCCGTCCGCAGTTCGCTTCGCGACACGTGGTACATACATACGAAGAGGTGTCTGCCGTGTGCGAGAGAGAAAAAAAAGCTAGGCTTCTCGGCGATTCGCCGAGATAAGCTTGAAAAATAGCTCAAACTAAAGTAGCAGACTTTGTCAGCCAGGCAAAAGCTTGATTTGATCCACAAAACCACCAGACTGCAGAAAGACAGCAGTGGGTACTGTAGGTACCTCTACTTCCCTCACTTAGGTCAATGCTGAACACTAAGCAGACGTTTTATCATAGGTACGAGCGATACTTCATTGTAGGTGAGAAGTAGGAGAGCCTGTAGATGATCCATTCCACCCAAAAATATCATTCGTACTCGAGAGACACAGATAGAGCCAATCGGCGGTTCAGGGCAAGGGCTTACTTTGTTCGCGTGCCGAATGCTCGCGGTTTCTTGGTCTGTCTTGGCTGTCTCAGACAGTAACTCACTCACGGCCCTAGAACGGAATATCATCATATCCTACCTACCGTGCTGGAAGAAAAAACTAGGTACCTCCTTCCAAGGACTGGTGTGAGGAGGCTTTTCCCTCTAATCTCTTCGCAGCAGCATCACCTGTATGAAGATGAAGACGATGACAAGAAAAGATTATAGACAAAACTTCCGAGGCCTACTGTCAACGGCCCAATCTGAGGGCTCTGGTCCATAACGCCTCGCCCGTTGTGCTATGCAAGAGGGCCAAGGGCCTCGAACGGAAGTTGTTGTCCACCCGTAGACACGGCGGCTTGCAAGTGACACGGAATCCGAGCACTCCGTGATAGTCCTGCCAGCGGAGCCAAGGCGTACCCGCGTGTCAGAAGTCAGTGCCGGAGTCGGGCATACCTGGAATCGGCGGGATAGTGTCAGGCGGCCAGATGTGGCATTCCAGTTCTTCGTCAAGGCACCTGTCATTCATTCATTCATTCATTCATTAGATAAAGAAGGGATACTCGCCGTACATACCTAGGTCGGCGCTCGACGATCTCTGGTCTGTGCCTTGATGGCGCTGTTATGGCTGCACTGGATATGGCATTAGGGCTGTATGCGAGCCTCTCCGACTGGCTGCGAGTCTCTCTTGGCAAAAAAGAGTCATCTAGAGGCTAGAGCCAGCCCACGACATCCTTCCCATGTGGTGGTGGACATGTGCCTTGTGCTGATGTTCACCCGCCGAGAACGCCCAGATAATGCTTGGCACCGTCGATGTGGTGGTCTCAAGGTCTTGTCATCCGCACTTGCTCTCTTCTCAGTAATTGCGCCGTACCAAGACTGCGCCCGTCCAGTTCGCCCGACGTGTCCGAGTTTCAACTAAAGCATGGGATATGTCAAGGAAGTTGCCTCCTGGGTACTTTCCAGCTTGTATCCGTGCTGTATATCTCGACAGCACCGCTTTCGACCGGGCCGACCACTTTCATCAGGCAGCACCTGGACTGCACTCCATATTGTCCTTTCGAGACCGGATATATCGGTCTTCAATCCCTGCCTCAGACTGCTCCAGCCTCAGCTTTCGCTCTCCCCGCCTCTCTCTCTCCCTCTCTCTCTCGTGTGTCCTGGTCTCTGTCACCGTCTCACGTGGCAGCATGCAGCATAGGTGGGTAGTGAGCATGTCCACCACTGCGATTCACCGAGCCGAGCGGGGGTACGTGGCGCTAGGCGCAGCAACTTGGCTTGGCTTGTGAATGTCTTGTGGCATCTACGCATTCGCTTAGCGAAGACAAAAAAACACGAGCAACAAGCCTGCCAAGATGCGTCCCAAGGTCATATACAGGATCCGCTGATGCCCAGCTTTGCCCAGTCTCACTGGCCGAGCAACCAGCCACTACACCAGTGGCAAAATGTTGGCTGCACTCTGTTCCATAAGAACATCTTGGCCGTGACACACACACTTTCTGTCTCCGCGGCGGCCGTAAGTGTCTCTCATTAACCATCAGTGGACACTTGGTACGTACCCTGCGATACATGTCTTCCCATCACTATAATGATTGCTGTGATCGCCTACAACATGAGACGAAACGTGCAGTGGGCATAAGAGAGCATGCGTATTCTCCAGCCGAAGCCTATATGCCTGCATGATTTGTGATAACAATGCGTGAGTCGTTACGAAGGATCCGCTCACTATAGCCGATCATGTCAACCGGCCTGTGAGGAGTAGTCGAGCAGAAAATCGTGGTCTCCGAGGTCCACCAAAGGTAGTGGGAAGACGCCGTGGCGTCTAAACGAATATTTCCCAGTAGTCCACATAGCTTGCTATAATACTGTCGCAAGGATTACTGATGAGCGATGAAGACGTTCTGATCGGCATGTAAGACTGCAAAGCTAGGTATGTAAGTTTCAAGTATAGTAGAAGATAGAGGAAGTGAACGTGTCCTAGGCAGCTTCTGCTATAACTGGTAGTACGCTATTCAACAAATGCCTTGGTCGCTCATATGAGCGTGGGTGAACAGCGGCGAGGCACGACCAAGGAAGGCCGCCTCACTGTCCCCCTCAAACTATACTCGACGTTCCCCAGCGGGGGGAAGGCGGGGGTGCTCCGCTACGGGGACGTAAGGGCGTGTCCCAGAGTTCTTGAGAGACGGCGTCGCGAATAAAAGTCAGGCCGCACGGGACCCTACCTGACTCCTCGACCATCTCGTTGACTTTTGCGCCCGCGACGGCGAGAGAGAGGTAGGAGGAGTAGGTAGGCGCATGAGCCGAATCGTCGTCGTCGCTAGGAGCCGCAGCAGGAGGAAGGGCGCGGCGCGCTGATCGCCGGGTGAGCGTCGATGCGCAAGAGGAGGCGCCATGACCGCTGCTGGCGTAGGGTGACTACGGGCGGGAACATTGGGATATCTCGCCAGTCTGAAGAGCTCTGTGTAGCTGCTTAAGCAATTATTGTCTCTAATACGTCTCCCAACTGCGTCAAAGTCTTGCTTACCTACCCCATCCGGATACCTAGGTAGCGACAAAGTAGCAGTGAAAAGAGCCGAGTCTCCTTCAGCAATATCGTCTCCAATACTTCTCCCAACTGCCGCTCATCCATCCGGATGAATACCTAGGTAGCAACGAATTGGCAATGGAAAGAGTCGGGTTGATCGTGCATACCTACACACCCACCCACCTGAAAGCCCCCCCCCCCCCCAATCAGTACCTATCCATCCGGTAATGGACCGAGCGTAAATGATGACTTCCCAATTTCCTCGGAGATCCCAGAAGATAGCTAGCTGAGCCAACAGGGCGAATGCTGGAAATGCCCTCTTCCAAAGCCTTCCGCCGGGTCTTTGTTTGATCTTGATGACACTGCCAAGGTTCAAGGTCGACCGCGACCCAAAACATGGCTGGCATATGCCAACCCACAGCTGGGCGTCATCGTCCCGCCCAACGCCGTTATGTTCTCCTCGGACTGGTCGTGGTTGAGGGAGCCTGCGTATGCGGTCAGCAAAGGTAAGGTATGTAGTGACTACACCTGGAGGAAGTTTCTTGACTAGGCAGATAAGACAGAGGTCCGATATGTTGTGGTTCTAGTAGTAGTCTAAGAACTCCCTTCATCCCGCCCTCCTCCTACTTTTCCCTGGGTACCTAGGTACTTTGCTGAATACCTAGCGCCGTCGGAACATGCTTGACTTCAAAACGCTGAACAAACCACCCACCAGTACAACAACATGGCATGCTCTGAAACTTGTCTCCTGTGCCGTCCAGCGCCTGACTCGCTTTCAATTCAGCAAAAAAAAAGTACAAAACAAAAACGCTTCAGTGAAATGAAACGATTGGTCGTGACACGCGATTTGATGATTTCGGTCCACAAGAATGTTTGCATCGTCACGACAACAACAACAAGATCAAGGACGACACGGCCCAGAGACACCAATGTCCATGGTGAAGATTTCTCAAGGTCTCCATATCGGTCTCGGACCCTCTGATCCACTTCCAGCAGCAGCATCTTCTTCACCCATGCGACTTTGCATGAGACTGCTGCGTCGTCCAGCTTGGGAATGTCTTCCGCTCAGGGCCAGAGCACTCGGCGGCCGCTTGTGATGCGCAGGCGCCTCATTGTCGGCCTCATTGCCGCTGGTAGGATCTTCTCGCACTCCTCGTGTTGGCATCGTTCTACTTGTCCGGCCACTCGCTAGCCGGCTGCCAGGTCGGAGAGCCGGAGCCGATGCCTTTGTTTTGAGGTTTCTTGCACCATTGGCTGATGTGGCAGCTTTCGAGGGTGTGCCATCACTGCGAACCGGCAGACTCGACTTACGAGCACGACCGCTCGCAGTGTTCATACTCGACGCTGGTCTCGGGAGAGATGATGCAGGTCCACTGACGGCCCGTAGGTTGGATGCTGATGCAGGTGTGCGAATGAGAGCCGGCACAGGAGGTACGTACGTGCCTGCGCGAAGGTAGTTCCTCTTGGGCGTCACTGGTGCCTTTGCATACTTGCTCGGTTCGAAAGCGCTGAGTGGAGCAAAGCCTTTGTCATCGCTCTTCACTGCAGCACTGAATCGAGCCTTGTTACTCGACGGCGTGTGCTCGGGCCTGCTAGGCCAGACAGGCTGCTTTGGAGATGGTGTGCCGAGTGGTAAGGACGAAGCGCGGTAGGAGCTGCGCGTGTCTGACAACGACTTCTTCGGCAGGAGGCTTCGCCGCGGCAGCGAGGCCGGTGTTAGCGATAGCTTGCTGATGGGTTCTTTGCTGCTGCTGCTGCTGCTGCCGTTGTGAAGCTTGATGTTGTACGATAGTGTGGGTGTGCGTGAGCCACCGCTACCCTTTCGACTTCTGACAACGACGCTACTGGCAGGTGAGCTGCCGGGCGTGTCGACACCAAGACTGCTTGCTATCGATCGCTCCGTAGAGACCACTGTAGAGACCGAGTCTCGCAGTTGATGATCCTGCTTGTCTACATTGGTCAAATCTTCCTGGATACCAGCCACCACGGCATCCATTTCTTTCATCTCTTCCTGCAACGCCGCCCATCTGCTTTTCATGTCACTCTGCAACCTCAAGATCTCACCATTGACAGTGAGTCTGTCCGTTACGCCTCTATCGATGATGGCGAGCACTCGTTCGATGGCAGGGCCGTAGTGCCTCTTCTTCTGCTCATAATTGTCCACCTTTGTCTGCATTGCTGCAGGGTTCGCATGTTGCTCGTCTACATCGGCGCCGGCCTTCAGCTTTTGAAAGCTTCGTGTGATGGATTCGCACATCTTGAGCGCTTGGCGACCAGCGTTGCGGAACACCGTGATCCAACGATCCTCTCCCAGTTCACGACGCAGCGACTCCGCGTCCGCTTCAAGTCGTTGCCATTGTGCTTCCAGCTGATCCCGACGCTGGTCAAGATCTGTGCAGGCACTCGGAAAGATGGCGTTGCCACGCATTCGGAACGAGGACAAGCGCATAGGCATGAAGTCCAGATTAGCCCTCAATGGTTGCATCCTGGCAAATAACGCAAGCAGGCTGGAATCCTCTTTGTCCACAATATGCGTAGGTAGTGAAGGAGGCGTCGTCGGGAGTCCATTCGTGTACGGTGCAACCAAGCTGAGCCGGTTCTTGTGCATTCGGCTCCCTCCAGGCTGTTCTTCCACGATGGTCTCCAGCTCGCTGATCTCGATACTGTCACGGGAAGAGAGAACGCTTTCCGAGCCTTGGTGTCTCCGCTCCTCCATCTCGAACACCAGCTGATGTAAGCCCTCCATCTCTTGTGCAATCTCGCCCAATACCCTGTCCCAAATGTCCTGCCACTCCATTGCGATCTCGACCTGCTCTTTGATGCCCTTGAGGGTGTCCTTGATCTGCTGCCAACTGCTGACAATGTTTTCCATTTGCTCCACATTTGTTTGGATCTCATCTGCGGTGAGCTGATGAACGTCGTCTCGAGTCTGTAGTCGCTCGATGGACAAAATGTACACTTCCACCAGCCGCTGGAATCTGCCAATCGCCTTGTCCACATCTTCGATGCCGTCCCTGCCGCCCGCCGCTGCCCATTCCACGTCGTTCTCCGCATTCAGTCCCTCCAGTGCATCCTTTGCTTTTGCGATCCACAGCCTGATCTGTTCATACGCATCTGACAGCGCGTTTGCGGCTTCGCTCGCCGATGGCAGGGCAGATATCCTCCTCGCCAGTGAATCCGCATCCGGCAATCGCATCGAAGTAAGCTGCGCGAGCTGGCCCGTGAAACTAGCGCGACCCAATGTGTATATCGATCCTGCTCTTGACAGACTTGGCCGTTGAAATGAGGCATTGCTGTTGCTTCTCTCTAGTCCGGCGCCATCTGCGCTCGCTTCTCCCGCCTGCCAATTCCCAAAATCCAGTTTGCCGCTGGGACTGGGACTTATGCCCTGCCCATTCGTCCTAATTGTCTCCGTGGAAATTGTCCTGCTTGGGGAGCTCGGCAGCTGCGGTAGTGGTTTTTCTCGACTGTCCGCCATCGGCATACGGTTCGCATCACTCGTCGAAGGCCCCGCAGGACCGAGGCTCGGGACCGAAGTGGGCAGTGTTTTCGTTCTCACCTGTAATAAGGTCTTTGCGATATCCGGCATACGATATTTGTGATTGTCGACCAAGCTCGCCTCTCGTCTCAGATGCTCGTCAATGCCCGTATCTTCGTCGGTGGTGCTGCCGGCTACAAGCGCGTCAGAAATGTCAATAATGGAGCTCGCGTAAGCCGAGCTCGCGTATAGCGTCCTCCCATCCAATTCTGAGTGGCCGCCGTTCCCATGGACATCAGATTCAAAGGCGCTCAATTCGCTCGCTTCGGTATCCGTCAAGACGGGGCCTCCGCTTAATCGAACACCGCCTCCAAACGGCATGTTACTGCTGCGAGTCCACTCGATACCTCGGCGGCGCGTCTCCACCTCGCGCTCGCGCTGCAGGCTCTCCAATTCTTCCAGCTGAGACTCGGGAATACGTCCGATGCTCGACTGGCTGCTCCGGCGGGAAGGACTGCGGCTGTGGTGCAGTCGTTGCAGTCGTGCTTCCAGGCCTGGAGAGAGTCGCTTCCCCGGTCGGTGGGATTTGATCTCCAGCCAGCGATGCTGTTGTTCCTGTTTCAGGATCTGCCTGCCAGTTTCTTGTCGCTGACGAGTCGTGCTGGGAGCGTCAAGTTGCGATTCAGGTGGCAGGCGACAGAGTTCGATTTGCGGTGTTGACGTCGTGGCAGTTGCGGAGTGGTGTTTGTAGTGAATGGGATGCCTGTCGAAGCTGGTCGCCATGGTTGTGAGCGGACGAATCCCGACGTCTCTGTGATGTGCTAGAACAGTTTGGCGCTAAAGCGCTGTGCTGTTTACTCTTTTTGGGGCAGCAGGCTTCCACTCTGTGACAGCAGCAGTGCAGGGGAGGTCAAGGTTCGAGGTATAGTACCTGAGTATTCAGTATTGTGGGTGTGGTGTCCAACAGCGGGACAACTCCTGGACGTCAACAACAACAACAACAGCAGCAGCAGCAGCAACCGCGACCACAACCAACCACTGCTTGTGCCACCTCACACAGCAGAAAGAGAGTACGACACAGCTGCTGACAGCATCCTCTCTTCGCAGCGTCCGTCTTTCTCACCTGCACTCTCACTGTCCCTCAATTTCTCCCTCGCGAATATGGATATACACACACATACACACACTCTCTCTCTCTCCCTCTCCCTCTCCCTTTTCCCTTCTCGATATATCCGTCCGCCTCAGCGGTCGGTCGGCGTTTCGGTGGTCCAGGCCGTTTGCAGCGGTTTAAGTGGCTGCGGCGTGCTGCAGGCAGAAAGGGAGGGGCCCAGGTAGGTCCGGATGGCGACTGCGGACAGGAGCTCTCTCACTCTCTCTCTCTGGCTCCCGTTGGCTGCTGTGTTTCAGGTCCAAAGTCCACTAAATAATGCTAGTGCGATCGGCTCCGCGATCCGTTCCCTGGAGTCTGGATCGTGTCAGACATGATTTTGATGCTGCAATCGCCACTGATCACTAGGAAGTGAAGTACACCTCCTACCTTACCTCCTACTCCTGCTCTCACTCTCGTTCGTTTGATCGATATGTACGCCGGCATATACGCCTCGGCGTGTTGCAGTCAGAATTCAGAGTGAATCCTCCGTTCACGACGACGACGATGATGATGATGATGATGATGATGACGATGCTGTGTACGAGGTTGCACTAGGGGCCTAGCAGGGCCAGCACAGTCCCCGGGTCAAAATGCCGATAGAATGCCTCCGTGCCCGTGCTGATCAGTGATCAGTGATCACTGCTCTAACATTATATTACCTCCTAGTATGATTACATGTCAATCATCGAAGAGATCCGCCCTGTTCTGGGAGACTGCCCAGTGCCCAGGTCAGTCAAAGCCGATTGACTTTCAGTTTGCCAGGAGGGAGACGGTCCAGGACTCCAGGTACCTACAGGTACATTATCTACAGGTAGGTAAGGTAGGAGTATATGTGCAGGTGCAGCCGATGCGTCGTCTGCCAAGACAGTTGATATATGTATTTGCAGAGAGAAAGAGCGTTTCTGCTTCAACGAGCCTCGAGCACATCGACATCAGGTATATGTTAGAGTAAAAGGTGCCCACTCCGCAAGACTTCAATTTCGACGCCAATGGAGACAACCTTACCACACGAGGAGTTGATGAGTCTCAATAATCTCATCTTTTCTTTTCGCTCCTCTGCCTCCGCCTTCGACGCCGTCGTCTACAGCCGAATTGGGACTCTACCTATCCTTACAACACATGCTACTGATCTGCGCAGTGAAAGTGCTCTCTGCAGCCTCAGGTGCCCATTCGGCAGCTACAATAGTCAATCAACTCCGATATGACTGTCAATGCAGTCTACGCCGCACGAGCACATTAGAGGGCCCACTGATCATCCATGCGCATGTGCGCACGATGCGATGAAGAACTACATGAGTACATGTACGATGGATGTGCAACGCTAGCTATCACTTCATCAAGCACGGACAGACACACATACCAAGTCCAGCATTTTCAGACCTTGCCAGAAACACCTGTAGCCTGTAGGTAGGCTGATTGATAACCTCAATCTCCTTTTCAATCTCAATCTCAATCTCAAATTTTCTTTCTTGAAATAATGACGAGGCAATAGACACACACGGCACAAGATAGACCGAGTATCACCCACTCACCCTATGCTAAATACATTAGTTGTATACGTCTACGCCCGGCGGGTAAATCTCATCCTTCTAGTACACTGTAACTACCGACGACAGGATAGAACTCGCAGGGCGAAACAACTCTAGGGACCTCGTATATGACATTCTACAAGACCACAATCTCCTTCTCTCTCTCGCCCTCGCTCTTGCCCTCTCTCTCCACATACCTACCTCTTCCAGCCATCGCAAACATCTATCCAGCACAGACTACCTCCTACCACCACATACCACCTAAACCCTTACAGTACCTCCTACCTAGCCCAGCCTAACCTATCCGGCTGACGACGACGACAACTACACACAGGTAATTAGCCTAGCCAGGTATCCAGCTGACGACGACGACAACCACCTCAAGACCTAGGAGGTATGTACGTACGTAGCCAATAATAAATAAATAAAATAAAATAAAATATATTACAAATGATCTACAGGACTCAGGAGGTAAAGACCCTCTCAAAACCTCGTGAACAAAAACGTTTCGGCCGCTTGATGAGCAATGAGCAATGAATCAACAAGGGGAGCGGGTGAAGACTCCCAGACTTTCAGACTACCTGACCTGTACAGCAAGCAGTATGAAAAAAGAACCCCCCCGGTAGATCTCTTACCTCTCCTCTCTGCCTCTCCCCTATACAACACGACGTGCACGACACGACATGACACGACACGACACTTGTGCGCAGATTTATTTTTATCAAATGTCAGACTATTGTTTTATATATGATTTATATATACCTACCTAACCCTTCATATGCTCGGGACTATATGAATACGAAGTCCCCACCCTCCATCCCCGAGTCGATTTGCCGACTTTTTTTTTGTAGGTTGGTGGTCTTTGGGAGTCTTTCTCCGTCTCTCTCTCTCTTCAACAGAGAGAGGGAGATAGATGGTCTGACTACAAAACATGCGTCAAATACATACACATGTAATGAGACACTGTAGGTGAAAGCGCCATGGGTAGGTCTTTGACTGACTGATTGATTGCTACGAAAATACTGGGCCTGTTAAGAGTCTTGCTCTTCTTCTTTCCAGACGGGAAAGGTGAATATGATAATGCATTCATTATCATACAAACTCGCTCGCTTCCTCTGCCGATACAAAACAAAAAAGCTAGACAGAGACAATCAGTGCCCATCATTTTGTGGGGGGACTGTTCTCTCTCCATGGGGGTATCAATCTTTCGTTTTCACACGTGCGCGCGCCCCAGAACAGCCCGTTGCCTCCCCTCCTCCCATCTGCTCGCTTGCTGCTCATGTCGCTCGTCTCTTTGTACAACCAACCGCCGCCGCCACCACAGCCACATTGAACACGCTCACTGAAGGGCTTCCTAGCGCTCCATGATCGTGCCATGTCGTCGACCAAAAGCAGAGCTCGAAGGACGTATGACTACTGCCTCTCGTCGTCTCTGCTTCCAACTCAGATCAGATCTTCCACGCCTGTGATTCAGAGATGCTGCCTCTCCAACTTCCTATGCTGGTAGAGCATTCTCCTTGTCCTCTTCTCCTCCTCCTCCTCCTCCCAACACTTGTTTCGACACTTCTGACATCTTCGCCGAAATGTCCACAGTCTCTATATGTACTTTCGGCTTGACTGGAAGCTGGACCTCTGACGGATCGAATGTGGTCTGGACTCCTGACTGGCAATCCCCGGGCTTGGAAGGCTCTTCGGGTGGGCTCGATCCTTTTGCCGCTGCGCTTTCGACCACTTCGTCCGAGGGGACCTCGATCTTCAACTCGGGCGGCTTGGTTTCGCGATTTTTTTGATTCTTCGCCTCTTCTCTCCACTCCTCTGTCAGCTCCTTTCTCACCCCTTGGCACCACTTGAAAATGGCTTCATCAAAGCTTCGCCAAGCAGCCTCGTTACTGCCCTGAGCAACATCCAATGCCGGAACCTCAATCTTCGTCTCCCAGCGAATCTCCCCAGCTTTGGCCCAATACCTTAGATTTTCTGCCATGCGATATGGTTTGCTGACATCAGTGTGGAATGTCTTGATCTCGTCAAACTTCTTCTTGGATTTGGCTACGCAAGCATTGTGCAACTTCACTAGTCTCTGGCCATCTTGCAGTGCCTTCAAGAAGTCAGTAGGCAATGTCTGACCAGAGGTCATTTCGGGCCATTCAGGTAATGCCGGTTCGTCCTTATCGAACGACTTGATGAATAGCCACTCTCGTTCTCGTTCCTTCCCCGCCCAATCGCCTTCTCGCCATACCATGGCTTCGCGCTCAGCGGCTTCCTCCTGCTCCTGGACTTCCTCGGCTTTGATCAGCTTATCAATCGACTCGATCCAGCATATGATTTCGAGAAGTTCCATTTCGCGGATCCCGCCTCGGAAGTTGCGGCTCGCCATACGTTTGAGTGTGTCAAGAGTGTTGTAGAGGTCTTTTCTGAGCTCTCTTTCCGATCGCAGGGCAAACAACTTGATTGGATTCGTGTGCGCGGTGTAGTAGTTCTTCGCAGCTCGAATGGCCAAAGTGATGATGTCCAGGAGGTGAAGACCTTGAATTTCGTAGAAACCACTGTTATCGGCAACATCAGCGGTGTCTCCGGCGGCCGGCTTCTTTTGCGACTCTTCCAGTACTTTGCACGCGTCCTGCAGAGCTTCGTTCAACTCTCGACGGAGCACGGGCATATCTGGGAGGGGCTCTGTGAACTCGGGCTTGACTTTGTACGTGCTCACTGTGGGAGGAAGCATGGTTGGGTCGCTTGGATTCCAGAATTCTCCAAATTCGACTTCAGTCGGGCTCTCCACGACAGAGACATCCAGGCCGGAGTCTGACACGGCGCAGGACGAATGGCTATCGTCCAAGTTGATGCTGCCATAGTCCAGCTCACTGCCGCTGGTCGAACGGATGCTTGCTTCAGTGTTCGTCGGCTCATTCAGTCCTCCCATTTCCCTGCCTTTTCGCAAGAAGCGCTTCTTCTGTTCCGACTCTCTGGCCAATTGCGCTCCCTTGCCGTCCAGCAAGCCAGTTCTGGCAAAGTAGTATTGCATGTGTGCAATGCTGCCCAAACTCATGACACTGTCACGATTCCTCGCACTGTCTGCAGAGACGGTGCCTTGAGGACGGATGTAGCCCCTCCTCCGCACCACGGTAGCACTGCCATCGCTGAGTCTCGAGCTCCGTGTGCGTGAAGAGATGGACAGCTGCGACTCTGAGGCGGAGGCGCCACTGATGGAGCTACAAGGCGTCGACACGGATCGATCAAGGTAAGGAACGGCGTCAATGGCCAAAGAGGCATCGACGGAGGGAGAGGGGGACGAGGCGCGAGATTCGGAGTCGGCGAGGTGGAAGGCTGGCGAGGAGGGGCTGTGTGTCTCAGACCGAGAGGCTGTTACAGTGTCGGCCATGTTTGCGGTTTGCCTTCTTCTCTCTCCTCTCGTGTACTTTCTTTCGTCTACCGTCACTCGTCTGCCGTCGTCTCTCGTGTCTCGTGTCTCGTCTTGCTATCCCGTCCTATCCTTGCCCACCTTCACTCTTCTCGACGTCGTGCCAGGCCGGACCACTTTCCAATGTCAATTTGGCGAAGTGAACAGGTGTGGCGTAGGTAGGAGAGTAGTTGTCGATAGCAGGCAATGTTCGAGTCTGTTGGTGTCGTTCCAGGCAGGGCTATCCGTGCTTCCTGCAGGCCTGCATTCGGTAGATTGGCATGTGCTAATTGCGGTCTGCGTCCGGTAATTCGGAGTGTTATTATGATTATTATGGTGTGTGATCGACGACACCTGGTTCGACACGTCCTGTGCTGTGCAGAAGTCACCGATACATGTACCTGCAGCGGGTGGGCAGTCGTCGATACGAGGGAGGCGTTGTCATGTCAAGTCAAGTTCTGTCAAGTCAGGTCCAGCAGTGAGGTGCAGAGCTCGTCGTCGTTGCTGGTGGACGTGACTTCCTACTCGTTCCTATGAATCCTATCCCTCCTGATCTGCACACTAGCTGCAATCTTAAGAAAACACGTCGACCACCAGCAACCGGAGATTGTGGCGTTAGCCGAAACACGAAATGAACACGAATGCTTCTCGACTTCTACCTGGCTCTTTTTCACAGGCCAGTGTCCCAGTGTCACCACCCTGCTGGCTTCCCTTTCGTGTGTCCACCTCACTACAACATCACAATCGCCATCGCCCCCGTATTATTGACTGCCCGCCTGAGCTGCTCACCGGCCTCACGGAGCAGCACTACCTAAAATCAGGCAGATACAGGTAGGTACTCACAATCGCATCAAGAACATCCATCTCTCCATTCCCGTCCTACCCACCTGCGAAATCGAATGATTCCCACGTGCCGACATTAATAATACCCAACAGCGACAGCCTTCGCAAGTCCCCCTACCCCCCTTCATGGGTCCCATGTCCGAACCATGCTCACTAGTACAGTAATACTTGCTTGAAATTGCTTATATCATGCTTCCAGAAGCACGCCGTGGGGCCGTGGAAACGAGCGAGCAGCCTGCATGTGAAGACGCCGAAGACTAGGGGGTGCCTCAGACAAAGAGGATCACTTGGAATGCCTACCTGCCACAGCCGGCGTCGTCCCTTAATACATTTGTCTCGAACATGATGTGATGCGCGCCAATCCCTCATGGGGAGGGAGCATGATCAATCAGGTGAGTGGAACGGTATACCTCTGTATACTACGATCCAACCATGTGCACCACAGATCAATTCCATGAATCGACGTGAAGTAAAGACATCGCAGTATACAGATTTCCATCACGTAAAGGTCACATCGAGCTATGTCCAGTTCGAATTGCCTCGTCGATACTGGTGCCACGCCCCACTACCGGCTCTCCAGGAACTCCCGCTAGAGTTGGTCAACAGCGATCGTCCAATTGTGCGCTTGGAAGTCGACTTGGGCATATAGCTCCCAGCGCTCGTCATTCGGGCGAAAGTCCGTTTCGCGGGCTTCGCGGCGATTCCGGATAATCGTGGCGGCTGGAAAGACGGCGTACCAGGCGCAAGTCCGAGAGCAAATCTTGCCTGTTCCCTTTCGAATGTTGTAGAAACAGGGCTGTATGGTCAGTCCATGGTACACTACTTGTCACACACTTCCTCGAATGCTTTGAGTAAGGCCTGTCGCTCTGTCAGTCATCATGTCATTACGAAAGCTAGAGGCCGACGTACCATGAATTCATGATCTTCCATCGAACCAAACACGGGACTCTTGCCCAGCTTGTCGACGGTGACACGTGGACTGTGGATGCCAAAGGCGATCCGAGCCAGGTATCGCGGGTCGTCTCGAGCAGTGACAGTTTCGAGCACCTTGGAGAAAGCAGTGGAGTTCCAAGCTCTCTCGGGGGCAGAAACTCTCTCTACGGCAGTCTTGGTCTCACACCATGTACAATGTCCGCACTGGGCAGCGTCCTCCGGGAGCGAGTCGCCAAAGTGCGAAGCTAGAACATGAGCAAAGCACACTTTGCCAGTGATCAGATCGATGACTTGGTTCATTCTGTCCAGCGCTTGCTGCTCCCGGACCTCGAGGTCCTTGTACAGCTCATCCGTCAATCGTTCTGTTTCCGTCGGCGAGGGTGGCCAATCCTTCAGCACGCGGAAGACGTTGGTCACGCCACTGACATCGAGCTCGATACATCTGCCATCGTGCCACTCATTCAGCTTTCGCACAAGGTCCGCCCGTGGAACGCCGCTCACGCGCCCAGTTAGCTCGACGTCAATATCACTCCAGATCCTGGCTTTCTTTGCGCCACGTTGTATTGCAATCGCAGCAGGGCTCTGGTCCCAGCTCGAGGACTTCAACACTTTCCAGCGATACTGAGTGTACTTTGGAGTGGTTGCTCGCATTAAGCCGAAACGCAGCTCCAATTGTGCGAAGATGCTGCCGAGGGTCGTAGGTCGGATGTCGAACTCTTTCCCCAGAGCATAGGGACTGACTTCAATTGTCTGCAGGTGATCGTCTGACACCCTGCAGGAAAAGATGCTCTGCAACAGAGCGAAGACTGCATTCTTGCTGGGTAGGTCACCACGTGCCATACTTTCCCGCAAATGGAGATCTTCAGCACACAGGAACAGCACACACTGCGAGTCGAGCCCATCACGTCCAGCCCTCCCGATCTCTTGACTATAGCCCTCGATACTGCGAGGGATGTCGTAATGGATGACGTTCCGAATGTCCGCCTTGTCAATCCCCATGCCGAAGGCGATTGTCGCCACCATGATCAAATCCTTTGATTTCATGAATTTTTCCTGAGCCAAAACTTTGGCCTGCGAGCTCATGCCCGCATGAAAGAATTCCGCCTTCAGCTTCCGCTGCCGCAAACGCATGGCGAGCTCCTCGGTCTGTTTTTGCGTCGTCACGTAGATTATTGTTGATCCCGGATGCGACCTGAGTAGTGCCTCGAGCACAGTATACGACTCATTCTTGGTCTGGAACGATTGAGCCTTGAGCTTGAGGTTTGATCGATATGTAGACGTCCTGAAAAGACCAGCATCGTCAATTTCGAATGCTTTGCAGACATCCCTGGCTACAGCTGGCGTGGCAGTAGCAGTCAGGCATACCACTCTCTCTGCATTGATCTCTTTTGCAAATCGAGCCACTATCGATTGTCAGCACTCGTGCGAAGTTATTGCGTAGACTCGAAAAACCTTTCAAGTAATCTGGCCTAAAGGCATGCCCCCACTCAGAGATGCAATGGGCCTCATCGACGGCGAGAAGTCGGACGCCTCCCTTGACGTTGGCCATTGAGGTCAGGAAGCCTTCATTGTTGAGACGCTCGGGCGCACAGTACAGTATATCCAGAGTGCCATTGCTCAATGCATCCACAGTGGCGAGATATTCATCCTTGGTCTTCGTGGAGTCCATTACGGCCGCTTCGATGCCTTTTCGATGTAAAGCGTCGACTTGATCTTTCATGAGGGCGATCAGGGGGGAAACAACAATGGTGATACCACTCTCAGCGGGACCTTGACGTATGCCAGCGATTCGATCCATTTCCTTGAAGCCTAGTGCAGGGACTTGGTAGCATAGCGATTTGCCACCTCCAGTAGGAAAGACCACGACGGCGCTGCCACCATCGAGGAGTCGCGCAATGGCTGCCTCTTGTTTGAGTCTGAAGGAGGAAATCCTGAAATGCTGTTTGAGGACTTGATTGGCGATTCGAATGGCGGTAGCAGATGCTGATCCATTGTTCCGGGCCTTCTTCGATGCGTGCCCGTCGGTGTCATCGTCGCGTGATCGTTTGTTCAAAGGGACCGTCTTCTCAAGCTCGATCAGTTCCGCTTCATCGCCCGACGAGAGGCCAAACTCGTCATCATCACCGGCCATGGGTGAAGGACGTAGGTACATGTACCTGTACGGAACACTGAGTGAGGTGTGTTGACGTAGAGTCGTGGTGACATTCACAACACGCGTCAGGTTCACGACTTGATTATTGCGTCGGAAGGATTGACGCGTAACCTGGTAAGGAGGATGGAAGTTCAAGGTGCCGCAAGCACGCTAGTCCTAAAACTAACTCTTGGTGCGCCCAAGCACGTGAGCAGACTAAACAGGTATCTCGCGGCCTAGGAGATAGAGCGAACTCTGGTAGCGTGAAATGCATAGTGTCGCGCTCCTAGAGTCCTAGGTACTGATTGAGTTCGCGTCACTGTTCGTTGCTACAGGCATTTTAGAAGACATCTTCAGAACAAGAAGAAAAAGGTAAAAAAAAGACGCCCTCCGTGAGGAGTTGTGTCGGGTGCGCCGTAGCGACCTCTTCAAATATCGAAGTCCACACTCCCTAAAGAGTGAGACCCGTCAATCTGAGGTGTCCCTGTAAAGAGAGGCAGCAGCTTTAGAATACTTGAGGGTGGACAGGACGAGCCAAGGCAGAGAGGTTGGCTACAAAGAGAGAGGAGCGTCCGAGTGAAACCGAGAGATTGGCCACAGAGGAAGAGAAAGGGCTGAGCGGAGCCCCTGAATTAGCTGCACCTGTGTCGATACGACTGTCAACATGCAGCACACTCGAATGTCGGGAACTGACAAACTCGATTACGACCTCTCCTGCGTTCCTCCGGGCGACACTCCCTCTGGAGGTTTCTGATCCTTCTCTTCTAGTATAGCTTCATCTTGCGATTTCTTCTCCTTGCGCGAAACCTCCAGCACGTCCTCCTCTGCCACGCCAGATTTTGCACCCGCGCCAGAATCTAGATCCATCTCTTTCAACTGCCGTATGGCATCCTCGCTTCCCTGCGCTGCTCGCCTTCGCAAAGCTTTTCGCTCAAGCTTAATGAAGCGTCTCTGCTTGTATGCTGCTAGTCTATCTTCCGGACTTGGGATCGGAGGCCGCGATTCGATGGGACTGCCGAATGGGGAGACAATCTTGGACACCACATGTTCGACCTGGGCGCTGACTTTCAGGCGGTGTATTTCGACAACGTCTCCGGCTACGAGAGAGTTATTCGGGTCGTGGACCAGGTGGTGTTGGTCTGCGCGGTAATACTGTCTCTTTGCATTAATTTCCCCTTCTCTCCCAATCACTTTCTCTGCCACACGCGTCATACCTTCTTGATCGCCTGATTCCATCTCTGGCCGGCGACTCGTACCCGCACCGTTTTGTCCATCTTTCCATGACTGACCACCACCCCGACGGTTTTCTTATGGGGCGTCACTTTTTCCCATTGCTCCTGTTCTGATATGGGCAGCAACTCTGCATTGACATGTTGCAGATAGTGGTCAGGAATCTTTGCCTGCGGCAAGGGTCGTGATAGAAGTTCGTGAGGCGTAAGCTTTCGGTAGTCCACTTTGGCAGCAGACTGTGTTTGTGTCGCGAGACATCGCCGACACGTCCAGTGAGGCTTCAGCGCATGTGACGAGAGTGTTCGTATGGGGAGAGTGAGGGCGCGCTGGCTCATGATGTGTCGGTGCGAATCGATGATTGCCTTGTGTGTGGTTGCATGCAGTAGGCTCTGAGTAGGAAGAGGACATGGACCAAAGGGGATGCTTTCTCCACTTCCGCTCATGCCAAGAATACCCAAGGTACATAAAGTATTTACCTAGTTCTTCGAGACTTCAGACCACTAAGGTACATGTATCTTAGTGTATACAACAGTCATTTCATGTAACTACTGAAGCCTTTCAACATGGAAGATCAGTATGAGTCTCACAGTACCATATACCATATGGGTCATGACTTTCGAGCGTCGTTAGCTATAGGTATTGCAGTGATGATAGGAGCGGGGCTCATCTGTCTGCTTATAGGCACTTCTGGCTTTTTGTTATTTTTTAGATTACAGTTGTGCGTAATCAAGTGACAAAGCTAGCTACATATGCAGCTATCCGTTCTTTGGCTCGATGGCCTGCGAGACAAAAAGGCGAAGCCCATTTCGCCGTGTCCTTGAAACGAGATGGGAAATCCATCAGAGAACAAACGTTCTCTGGAAGCTTGACCCTCGCTCGCCTCCATTTCATATTTGAGAAACTGGACCCCACAAGGGTACAGTACTGCTCGGATGGTTGCACTTCACCACTTCGATACCTCCAGGACCCTCAGCCCCATGTACTCCAAAGTCATCAGATCCATCGATATCAAGAGACCTCCATTCCACCATCAACATAGCCCATTCCTCTTCGCATCCTGAAGCGTCTTCCCGAACTCCGCCTTCGCGATAGCTTCCTGCACAATGGACGTCCCATTCCTCACCACTGCGATCTCCATTGCCAGCTCACGAATCCTCGCCTTGTAGTCGAACAGCGTCTCTCCATATCGCTTTAACTTGTTGACCATGTGAGGATTCGGGAGAACGTTCTTGAGCTCGAGGCCCACCTTTGGGAGCTCGACGAATACCATCTGCTTGTACTCCTTCTCACACGCGTCGAGTAAGAGAGAGGCGTAGAGGTCGGCCATTTGGGCATTGGAGACGGTGATGTTTTCCTCGATCCACTGTTGGAGATCATCGCCTTTGTTGATGATGCTGTTGCGGGTCATGGTGAGGACGGCCGTGATTCTTTTGCGGAAGCCATCGTTGGGATAGCCGAGAGCTGTTGGCAGGCGCTGCACAACGGCGTCGTCGTCGTCGGTTTGTGCCATATTGGGTGTTGGGGTTGGAAAGCACCTGGGCACAGTGTTGGGTCCTAACGAGGAATGGATTGTATTGCTGGACTGATGGGTTATGTGCGTGTAGTATGTGGGGATGTGCAGAGTGAAGGTGGAAGTGAAGGTAACATCGTAGCGCTTGCCACTTCATGTTTACAGGTGTCAGGTGAGTCATGCTCTGCCTGCCTTCCACTTTCTCACCTTCCGCTGCTCAGATGGCAGGTGCGAACATGCAAGTGGCCTGGAGTGGCGCAAGAAAGAGCGGAAAGCACGACCGTTACGAGACGGATGCTGTACAGTGAGAGTACCTACCGACCTACATGAATCACATCCAGGTGAGGTGCATACAAGCAGAACGTCGTCCTTGATGATGTACTGCGTTGCTGGCAAACCTCAGCGCAACAGGGGCCATCGCACCGAGTCTGTGTCGTGGTATGTGAGCCCATGGCAGTACTATTGAGGGGGAGCATAGTCCGCATCGGGGTCATCAACTTCCATTTCAAGGTTGTCGCTGAGGTGCTCGTCGGAGGATTCACGTGCTTCGGCCGGCTTGCGCCTCGTCTGTTTCTTCTTCGTCCACAGTGCGCCGGGAGCTTGACCTTCGAAGCCGACACGAGCGCCAATAGCTTCGCGACCGTGCCTGCCGCATGTAGACGGAGCATCAGTCGGGCGAGTACCCTTTTCGGCAGCGGTCAAGCGCTTTCTTCTCTTGCGAGCACGTTCACCGCTGACAGCCTCCTCGTCGTCTTTCTGCTTGGCAGCATCGGCAGCTTGGGCGCGCTTCTTAAGCTCATCCTTGTTGTCGGGTTCTCGGTGATACTTGATGCTGAAGATGGGCACAGGGTCGGTTTCGCCTTTCTTGAGCTTGATCTCAGATAGACGCTCCAAAAAGGAAGCATGCGTTTCGGCGGCAAGATTTTTACAGAGCTCACGTGGTATCACTAAGGGCTGCTGGGTGGCCGATTTCAATGAGCTTGCAGCGGGTTTGGCACGTTCAATGGCAGCAGCTGCATCCGCATCCGCATCAGCATCCACATCGACCTGGCCACCTGAAGACTCGACGGTATCATGCTCGTCTGGTGCCGCACTGTTGGCCTCTTCATCTGCTCGGAAGCCCTTTTGTGTCAGATTGACGGGCTTGCCGATCAGTCTGGTCTGAGAGAGGCCAATCACATCCAGAACAGTTCCAGCACGTCGTGGGTTGGGGGTGAGGCCAGCCTGAGAGATGTGGAACTGCGTGCCAAGATCAGTACTCCAGTAACAGCTGTAGATGGCATGGTCGAATTTGACCAGAGGGTTCTTGGTGTGCAAGTCGAGGATCTGCAGCGTAGTCCTCGGTCTTGACCTTGCTTCAGCTACATTGGGGAGGCTCTCTCCCGTCGTGGTAGTAGCAGTAGTAGTCACGTCTTCATTTTGCAGGCCGTCTCCACTCGATGACTTGGGTGCAGCGTCGATGTTCGCGTGACTATCGGCGGCAGTATCGTACTTTCGCACTAATGCGTCGGGCACATGCGTCGTCAAGTCCAAGGTAAAGTAGAAGTGCTCGGTCTCGCTGGCATCATACTCGTACTCCCACTCGGAATCGTGGACGACTGCTGCCTGGCCCATCTGTTGCGATGGAGACGGATTGAGATGACGGGTTGTTTGTATACACTCTCGTGATGAGTATACACTACGACTACTCCACTAGGAGGTAGGTTGGCCGAGACAGAAAGTATGGCCAGGATGTACCCATGTGGAGAGTGTCGGAGAGTCGGACTGACACCGCCAACCGCCTCACGATCACGAGTTTCGGTCAGGCACCAATGAGAGGTGTGGGAGTGTAGGAGATCTTCCCACCCGGCACTTGTCCTGCACAACTCCGGGCCAGGCTGGGCCACTCACTCACTCACTCACTCATTCAGTTGGTACGTAAGGTAGGTACAGGTATGTACTGAGTGAGGCCTCAGGTCAGCCACAGCCTCATCATCAACTTCTCTTCCGCGAACTTCCTCCCTAACCCTAGTTCGCGCCTGCAGAAATCAGCCAGTGCAGGCACCTTACCTCCTAGGGGCTGTAGGAGGTACAGGTAGGCTGGTAGGGCGTGAGGCACAAGTCAGGCTCAGGTACTGCTACAGCCTACAGTACCTTATACTAGGAGGTAGCAAGCTAGGAGTCAACGGATACTTCATCGCTGCACCCGGTGCACCGCTGACGCACTTCCTCCGGCATCCCGTGCCTTTTCATTATTTGCCTTTATTCCCTCCAGCGGCACACTAAGCTGCCCTCACTACCTCCTACTGGACGACGACCTGACTACTACTAATCGACCACCACTACCGCTCAACCATCGTACCACACCCACGCCCACTCCCGCTACCACATCCGCTCTCTCTCTCTCTCTCTCTCTCTCCCTCTCGCGCCAACCTCACCTCCATCTGCCCGTCCGTCCGTCCATTCTCTGGCACTGTAGTCTTCTGCGACACACTCACACACCACACTCACACCCACATATACACCGCATACACCACTACATCCCCACCCACGACAAGGATCGACTGGAAGCGCTGTGCGCCGAGCCCCGCAGTGTCAGAGTATCTATGAATCGGTAGCCGAACCCGCGGCAGCGATAAGTGCGTGCTCAGCATCTCAACTCTCGACTCCAACCCACCATGCCCGGAAAGCGGCCACTGGCGCAACGATGCTTTACCTACTTCATTGCCGCTGCCTTGATCTACATCCTATTCTGCTTGCTCGGCGTCCAGATTGACAAGACCACCGATGAGCTCGAGTTGATCGAGAGTGCAGCATGGGTGCAGACGAGCAAGAGTTGGATTGATCGGCAGGCATGTCGCTGGATAGGCCTCTGCGGTGCCATACACCTGCTGAAGACGAGCGCATGGACCTCGGCGAACGTCGAAGACTACCTTCTTCCCGCTTCCCTCGACGACGAAAACACTGCACCGTGGTGGACCTCCGCTGACGTCGATACAAGTGAGTGGTCCAAGGAGGAACGAGCCCGCCGCGAGATCCCTCAATATGTGTTGGACCATGCACCATATGTGCACCTCTTTTCGGGCGAGCAGTTTTGGCCGTGCGACATTGGCGAACACCTGACGCACACCTCACCTTTCTTAAACTATACGAAAATCCTGGATTTGCAGGAAGAACCTCGCAACCTCACGAATCTTCACGAGCTCAACGACTATAAAGACGGAGAACATAGCAGGTTTATGTACCTACATAGTGACGACAACCCTGAAGAACGGCCCGACTGGCTGGTCGGTGGGAAAAACATCCCCAAGATGCCCGAGTCGTGGGATGATGTCGATGATGCCGATGACGAGTGGGATGCTCCACCTCCAGATCTTGACGATCTCAAGGAATATGACCTGGAGTCATTAAAGCAACAGGCGCTGGACGACGCCTTTACGAAGCAATCTTCTTCGACCACAGAATCCGCGCAAAATTTGCCCTTTAAACTCTCGCCCAGTCCCGACGGGCGATGCGGCGGAAGCAGCGGCTTCACTTGCAAAGGCAGCAAGGCTGGCCGCTGCTGCTCCATCTATGGTTGGTGCGGAAATTCCGAGGAATACTGCGGAGACCCCTGCGACCCTCTGGCCGGAACATGTTACGATCCGTATAATCCGCCGAGAGGCCCGCATCCGGACTTGCGCCGACGCACCACCCTCGACCTGAACGGCGATAAGCACAAGCCGCAACAAGGTGGCAAGAGCTCAGCGCCCGCCATCCTGATTGTGGTACCCAAGGAGAACGGCATCGTCGATGCCTTTTGGTTCTTCTTCTACTCGTTCAATCTGGGTCAGACGGTGCTGAATATCCGTTTCGGAAATCATGTCGGCGACTGGGAGCACACGTGCGTACGCTTCAGAAACGGCAAGCCGACTGAAGTCTTTTTATCGGAGCATAACTTTGGCCAAGCATTCACGTGGAAGGCCATGGAAAAGTACATTCCCAGCCACGATGGCTCTGGCACCATGATTGGCAGCTGGAGCAACGAGACTGCTGGCCGCATGGCCAAGAGACCGGTCGTCTATAGTGCCATTGGCTCTCATGCCATGTATGGAACACCGGGACTTCACCCTTATATCATTCCTTTTGGTCTATTACATGACGAGACCGACCGCGGGCCGCTTTGGGATCCTGCCCAGAACTTTCAGGCATACACGTACGATCCCGTGAACCGCACGATGCGCGCCTCCAACTTGAATCCCCAGTCACCCGTGGGTTGGCTGAGCTACGCCGGACATTGGGGGGATAAGTACTATCCCTTATCGGACCCACGCCAATACCGCTTCGCGGGTCAGTATCACTATGTCAATGGTCCAACAGGACCCCGATTCAAGAATCTGGGCCGCAGTAAAGTCTGCCAACGCCACGGCAGCTGCGAAGTACGGCATTGGCTCGGAGGGAGCAAGATGGCCATTGGAAACCCTCCCGAAGAAGGCACCGAGGATGGTACCATACCAGGTGGCAACCAAACGGAAGATTCCTCCGAACCTTCGTACAGCGAGGCGGTATATGGCGAAGGCAAAGAGGAGTACTCATTATGGACGAAATAGATGGGAATGAGGGGAATGAGTGGTTGGTGTGAGGTTTGGTTGGCTAGCGGGACACGCATCATGTCTCTCTCTCTTTTTCCTTTTTTTGTTCTTGTTCTTTTTTGTTGATGGGATTGCGTTTTATTTTTTGGTCCTGCATAATAACCTGGTCATGTGCATGAATATGGAGCGACGATACCCTATGCTTTCCACGCGGCTGGAACGAGATGGAGTACTACTACTACTACTGGCGCCACTGATTAGATCGATACAGATAGTATGATAGATGAATGGGGTGGGGTGGGGTGGAGAAGGGAAAGAGAAGGCCATGATGGCTCGAGTGGGCTACATGTGCAGCTCTTTTGTAGATAACGAATTGATGGGTTCCATGACGGAAACTTGTACATGTCACCATTTCTCCCGTCTCCAGTGCACCTCTCACATGCCATTTCCACTCATTCACTAGTGGTCCATCACTGTCATTCCATCTTCCACCTTTACGTCCCCTCCGTGCAAGTAGTCCCATGCCTCGTCTTCTTGTACCCCGTACTCCAACCCACACTAGTGCTACTATTCCCACTCATACTCGACCCCGTCGCCGCAGTCCCTGTCGTCCCCGTCCCCGTCCCCGTCCCCGTACTCGTAACAACAGAAGAAGAAGAAGAAGAAGAAATCGAGGAAAAAATCTCCCCATCAACACATTTACTCTTCCTCACCGCACATCCACCCCCACAACCTTCAAATCTACATCCTTCATCTCCTTTTGGTCCAGGCACGCAGGTGATGTCGTAGCACTGGAATCGGCCGGCTTGGCGGCGGGAGTGGGAGTGCGAGTGGCGGTTCTGGAAGATAGGGAGGGGGTTAGGATAGATGGAATTTTTGAGGGTGGAAGGGAAGGGGAAGCATGGAATGGGTGGGATGGAACGTACAAAAATTTCTCGAGGAGGGAGAATTGCGAAAGTGAGGGTTGGGAAGAGAGAGAGGAGGGAGAGGGAGAGGGAGTAGATGAGGAGGAGGAGGATGGTTGAGAAGGAGGAGGTGGATTTCATCTTTCTTATTTCTTTCTGATTTGGCTGGAAAAGTTGTATTTTCTTTTTCTTCTCTTCTCCTCGGGACTGGGTGGTCGATTGACTGAAGGAATATTCAAAATCGCGTTGAGTTGTCTTTGGGAGAGGAATCGATTGTCGTGTACCCACACAGGTTTTTGCGTCGTCTGATCTTGATGCCGATTTATCAAGTCAGTAGTTGTAGGAGGTAGTAAATTGAGGATGGTTCAAGCAACGGGAGCATCTGTGCTGCTACACGGTTATGCGATGAGGAATGCCATGAAAATCACATGATATTACATTCTGACAAACGTGTGAGGCATGAACAAACGCGAAAAGATTCCTGCAAGGGGCGGACAGAGACTCATGGACATTTTGCATTCTTGTCCTAGACATATTCGCCTCATTAGCATTAGAGCTAGGATGTGTAGCTCACGCGTCGTCGTCAGATGCATCTCTCCCCCCTTTTCGCGTGTCTACTGCGGCCGTGTCGCCATCACTCATGTCATGATGCAATGTCATGATGCACATGGTGCTGATACACCTTTCCTGATAGTATTCCCCCCCATAAACGCCAATCCATTCCAGGACATGAGTAAAAAGAAAAAAGGAAAAGAAAAGAGGCTACGATCGCACTCCGTTATTCAACGGAGACACGCTTTCCGTCCGACCTGGCGTCGATGGGGATCGCAGACCAGCAGTCGTGTCGGGAAGATTGCTGATGGATTTGATCAGCCACGCCTTTTCGTCGTTGAACTGATCATCTTCTGTCCGGTCTTCGAGGAATTTCGGCAGGAACTTGAGTAAGCGGGCTTTGTTCATAATCAAGAACTTTTGCACGTCAACGCTCTTGTGTGGGTTTGCTGCGAAGATCTGGTACAGACATGTCAGCTATTATCCTTCCAGTGGTCGCTCTAGAGGGTGAACAGATGGTTCATACTGACCTTGAACACGTGAAAGGCTTCGTATTGCACCATCCTTCTATCATCCTTCAACTGCCACATGACCAGCTTGAGGTTGTCCCCACTCTCCACATATCGACACATGCACTCGTAAAACTGTCGATCCAGCAATACCTCGCCTAACAGCTTGATACTCTGCCGTTTCGTCACGTAGCTCTCACTCTTGATTAGAGTCTCGTTGTACAGTTGGAAAAAAGCGTCAAAGTTGGTGTTGACATACTGTGCCACAAGACTTTTGTGCTTGGTCAGGATGAATCGGAAACAGTCAAAGGCGTCGGCCGAGACCTCGAAGCTGGACTTGTCGATCCAGGTGAAGAACTTCCAGAAGACGCCCTTTCCCGTGGCCTTTTGCGAGACGTCCACGTCGTTGTAGATGTCCTGGGTCTTGCCATCTGCGCGAGGCTCGTCGTATAATATGACCGCCGCCACGGCGTCATGCTTGAGGGCTTCCTTCAGGATGCCACCGCACGCACTGGCGCTCTCCCTCCTCTCGTAGCCATTGCAGAGGGCGACAATGATCTCGGGCTGTTTCCGAATGACCTCCTTCAACGCATCGGGCTCGCTGGAAGTGCTGCCGGAGCTGCGGAAGCGGAAGACGTTGGAGATGATGGTCTGGGTGTCTTTGCGGGCTTCAAAGGGCAAGCGGTAGATGTTGTCGACGAGGATGGGGAGCAGCTGCTCGGACAAGATGGCCGACACGAGCTGGTAGACTTGGTCAGGTGAAGTCTCGGCTTCTGGGGTGCCTTGCAGGGTGACTTTCATCTGCGAGAGGTTGCGGGCAAGGTCGTCCTCGATCTGCGAGGCGTGTTAGTTGCTAATGTACTCGATCAGGTGGTAGTGGTCAAGTCCGTGCCTTTGTCGTCTGTGGAGACTCGTCCTTGGGCAGTTTCTGCAGCAGCTCCTTGACTGTCTTGACCATATCAAGGGCCGAACGCTGGCGCGAGCGTCCAAAGAGGAACGCCATGTCTGTGCCCGTCTCCCTCTGTGTTTCTGTGTCTCCTGCTTTTCGATGGTGTCTCCCTCTTTGCTGGTGTCTCCCTCCTTTCCTGTATCTGCCTCTCTTGGAGTCCCCTTCCCTAGCCCTCTCGCGGTAGCAGACTGGACCAAAGCAGAGCGGGAGATGTACTGGAACAGTCGGCCAGCAGCAGGGAGAACTGGGGCATTTCCTTTGCAGCTCCCAGTCAGTGGTCAGAGTGTGCAAGTGGAGGTGTTGGTGGCGGTGGTAGTGGTAGTGGTAGTGGTAGTGTTATAGCGAGTATGCATGCATGTTTGTGGAGGTGGAGGGCCGACAACAACAACAACAACAATGCATTCGATGTGTGAAGTCTGAGTAGTGGAAGCGAAAACACCAAACAACCCAGCTCCGACGTGGCACCCTTGCCTGGGGGAATACCTTAGCTGTGCTTCTATGGCCCGATGTCGCCATTGGCAACCATCAACCATCAACCATCAACCTCCTCCTCATTCTCATCATCATCCTCCTGATTCCTGAGGTGGTGGTTTCGAGAGTCTGACGGATGGATACGAAAACAATAAACAATAAACAATAATAAACAATCTTCCCATTGGAGAATCATACCCAATACCCTTTCCAACCCGTGTCTCACAAACCGGCCGACCCGGACGGCTCACACGAGGGCATAATGATAATACGGTGATGATCGCCGATAATACCCTCCCGTTCTATATATATTCCTTACCTTATACATACATCTTCTTCTTCTTCACTTCCCTCACTCATCCCAACACTACCGCAGCAGATAAGATGCTGACAGAGACTTACAACCAGGTTGAAGTAAGCACCCGGCCTCCGTCCCAACCAAGCCCCTCCGTCTACCGTCTACTGTCTACAACACATTTCGGGACACATATACGAGAGACACCAACCTGGTAGCTATTCCACACAGTCGATCAATCCTCTACTGGACAGCCCGTCTCGTTCACTAGGGTGTAGTGTCTAGTAGGTAGGGCTAGCGAGAGGAAATGGTGTCTCGGTATGAGGCTACATACTTGCTACTTGGATGAATGGTGCCACACATACACACAAAACACACAACAGCACAGCGATCGATCAATACGCTATACTACACTAGCTAGGTATTTTCCCCTCGATGGTCCCGAAAAGCACTTCTTTTTTTTCTTTTTCTCTGTGTTATTAGTATATATGATAGATAGCGTTTGTTGTTGCATAAGGTACACATACAATACCGAACCTGAAGAAAAGTCTACGAAAAAGAAAGTCGAAAGAAAGACGAGTTGAGAAAAAGGAAGAGCCAATCAATCAAATCATGAGATTCTCACTCACCACCATCCTCGCTCTCTCCTCCTCCCTCCTATCATCAACCGCATCTGCCTGGCTTGTACGTATCCCCATTCATCTCATCCATATATCCATCATCACAAGTAGTACCTAGTACCTCATCAGGGTCAATCAAACTGTCTATATATATACCTACATCTATATACCAAATCAACTAATCAAAAGGGTATATTTCTCTTACCCTCCCCATCACCGTTTTTAGAACTGCGATATTCCCTTTGGAGACGGCGCCTGCAACGATAGCGAAGATGGGAGCATAGTAGACTGTACCAAGGTAAGTTTCTTTTTCTTTTTCTTTTTTTCTTTTTTTTTCTACATCATATCATTTCTTGCCGGACTGTTTTTATTACACTTTATATTAATGGGACATTCTTCCTTTTTTTTTGTTCTTCTACCTCTAGGATCATCCTTGCAAAGTTGTAGGAAATGGTTGTGTGATTTTTTGTGGTCCGCAGGAATGGCCGGGGTATTGTCCTGGTGCGTATGCACATTGTTCGTGAGGAGAGATGATAGGTGAATGATATTGGAGGAAGAAGAGGAAGAGACAGAAATAGGAGGAGGAGGAGGAGGAGGGGGATAGACGTTTTGATTCCATCTGTGTATATTTCTCAAGGTTCTGGTGTCAGTAATGAGTGAATGAATAGCTTTTCGTCCAACTTTCTATCTTTTTATCTATATGCTCAAATACCATCCATCTCAGCCAACCACTCCGCAAAAGAATGCTCGCTAGATGTTTAAAAAAAGAGGTCGTTCTATGTCTAATTATTATAATATCTATACTGCATTCTTGCATTCTTGCACTCTTACATGCTTGCTTATTCGCTAGGTAGGTAGCTTCCACATCTAAACCAATCCAATCCCATGATTCTCATTAATAGGAAAACAAAAACACAAATCACATTATATTCCCCTCTCTCTCTCTCTTTTCAAAAAAAAAAACAATCTCAACAACCTCCTTTCCTCCCCTGCGTAATCCGAGCCAATTTTTTAAAATTCTCTCTCGTGGGTAATTCATTCTCGTGAGAAGTCGGCGTGACTTCAGCCATGCTGACAATAATGGATAAATCGGAAATGTCTTCGAGAGGGATGGGTGTATCGTCGAACTAGATTTTTTTTCAACAGAAATTAGTAAGCAAGCCATGTCTTTGAGAGTGGATTGATTGATTGCAAGGAATGAAGAGAAAAAAAAAAAAACTCACCTTTGCAGCCCTCCAATGTAAATTCCCCCTCAAATACCTCTCCACACTCTCCTCCTCCAACGACTCCAACTCTCCCCGTCGAACTTTTTCCCTCAAAATATTCGTCAAAGGAATTCTTCCTCCCGTCACCACCGCCGAATGCCCATCACCATTCCCACTCCCACTCCCACTCCCACTCCCATTTGTCTCATTATTCCCCATCCGACTAAAAGCCACATGCGTCCCCGCCAAATTCCCCTCCAAAGCCCACCCTCGAGGATTTTCTTTGTCGAAATCTCCCACAAACAGATATATTGCATAAGATCCATCGACGAGGGCATGTTTGTTGGAAATTAAATCTGCGGAATAACGTCTTTGTCGACCTTGGATTTCGAAGCCGTGAGCTTCTGCGTTCGCATCATCATTATCAGCAGAAGTTGTTGTTGTTGTAGTAGCAGGATTCGCGGCATAAACGTTTTTTTCTTCGTTGGTGTTGTTGGTGTCTCCTCGACGATGAATGGTACTGCCTAATCCACCGGATTTTTGAAATCCCGCACCGTAGAGTTTATTGATTTGAGAAATGGTATCTGCTCGATTGTTCGTTTGAGTTTCAGGGTAAGTGTAGCCGAAGGTTGTGGTGTCTCGGACGGTGGTGGAGGTCCATTTTGTGCCGTGGGTGTCGCGGGAAAAAGGTTCCAAAGCTGATGGTTGGTGATGGTTTTTGTCGTTAGCTACCTGGGAATGACTACTGGACATGGACACATGCAAGCAGATGGACTGGATGAGGAGGAATCTTACGAGAATCGGCATCTTGTATAGAGCCTTTGGGAATGGTAAAAGTTGCCGACGCTGCAGCCATGGGCTCAACATAGCTACTATCGGGATACAGAACGATCCACATGGCGAAGAATCGATCTAAATTAACGTGATGCAACCAAAATATGGGCTAAGACGAAGTAGTGTTTGTGTCAGTCGATAGTTTATCACGTCTTCTTGGAAAACAGATGGAGAGAAAAGAAGAAGAAACTCACATCAAAAGCAGCAAAATCCAAAAACGACATATGCCCACTTTTGCCCGTAATGCCATGAATGAGATCATGAAGTGCCTCGATGGAATCAATGTTTTCTTGGTCGCCATACCATGCCTCGTTGGAAAATTGTGTAAAATTCGAATAAAAAGTCAGTAAATTGTAAACTCGATTCGCGAGATTTTCTTGCTGCTTTTCGACGAGTGGTCCGATGAGATTGTTTTGACTGGTAGCAGAAGCGACCTGATTGGTTGGGTAGCGTTTGGTTTCATCCCAGGAGCGGAACTATTGAATGAATAAGAAAAGAAGAAACAAAAAAAGAAAATCAGCAACTTTTTCACCCATTTTCCATAGAGGAGAAAGTGTAGTAATTCTGCCTACCGGATCAAACGACAATTCCTCCATCGAGCCGTCCTCAAATTTATACGAAAACAGCGGATTCTCAATCGTCTGGGTCCCATTCGGCGTGGAAACTTGAACGCGAGGCTGTTGGACAATATCCGGAAGCACACTGCCACTTTCAGGCTTCACTGCCCAATCCCAGTAAGGGAGTCGCACGAGCGATGCCGCCTGAGAATAACGATCACGATCATCTCCTGCGGGGAACTCATTCGCGCAATCGACCATGTGTTCGAATAGGAGTTGCTCGAATAGCGCCAAGTAGGGCCGATGCCATGGGAGGAAGAGATTGGAGACGTGTGTACAGTATCCGTTTTGATCGGTACCAGGGGAGGGTCCGACGTTGTCGAAGATGCCGAATGGTCGACCGTGTATTGCTGTTGAAAAAAAAGAGAACATCCGTTCAGTAACGATTTATCCAGACTCATTTTTATTCTTCTTCTTTTCTTTTGGGGCATCAGCTCAAAGGCACTTACAGCTTGTCGAATAGTACGAGAGCGGATCTTTCTGCGGTGTGGCATGAAACCTTGCGAGCCCCAGCAGAAAAATATTGAACATATCAGCATTCTTTTGCAGTTCCCTGATTTCGAGCCTCGGTGGCGTTCCCGCATTCTGTACTCCCGTGACAGGATAACTGCCACCACCACCACCATTATTGGTTTGTCGTTTCTTGAGAGGAAGATGTAATCGTTGATTCGGTTGCGGTAATCCTTCCACCTGGTGCTCGAATCGCGAAGTAGCGATCGTGAGGCATGTTAGCCATAGCAGTTGTAATAACGAGTGAATATGCATCCTTTTTTGCTTCCCTCAACGTGCGAAAGAACTTTTGACAGAGACAGAGAAAGAGAGAGAGAGAGAGAGATCAGCAATGCTGGCGTTGTTCCTTGTAGGACTGCCATAATAGTACCTGAGTCTTGAACTGCTCTCTCTCTCTCTCTAGCCTACGCCATATTTTGGACAGTGTATGACCAGGAAGTTCCAAAATACCGTATAAGTGAGCTGTATCCTAGTGCTCTAGTGGTCCACTATGTGACAGGCTGCGGGTGAGACAAGCAAGGAGATGATTGGACCTTTTTCTTCTCACACCAAAAAGGTTAAAAAAATGTCGTTCTACTGCCCATGCATGCTTCGAAAGGGGGCAAGGATGATGGGTGTCTAGGGAGTGTTCAACTAGAGACTACGGCGGCATCTCACCGTGACAGATGTGAAGCCTGGCCTTTTCCCCAAGCGTTCATCATCCTCTTCGCGCAATGTCGTGTCACATTACACAAGATTAGATATGTTTGCTGCTGTGAGCATCCTATTCCTGCCCACCCCCCGAAATGCCTCGTGATGAGAATTCTGCGTCCTAGGGCTTCGTGTTGAGTATTATATAGAGAACAATTCACAGACTCACAGTGATTCACTGCCTACCGGCCTGGCATCTAGAACCGTGGCGAAGCTTCGGGGGAGTCGTACCTGTAGTAGTAGTAGTACAGTCATAATCAAAATATTGACACACCAGATCTAGGTCATCATCATCACAGTGGCATCGTGGCACGACTGGACATGCGGTGTTGCGTTTGGATCCAATGAATGCCCTGCAGGGGGAAAAGAAAAAAAAAAGAACCTGGCTGTCGGGTGAACCATCGTGGCCACACACACACACACACACACACACACACACACACACCTGTAGACTACATTGTACCTTTTTAGTAGTTCTACACATCCAGCGATCTTCCTTGCTTCCAGATGCACATTTGGTGTCTCATTTGCACGCTTGTTTCTGTTTGCCTACAACGCATATTGATCAGCTGCAGAGTTCAAGAAGAAGAAGAAGAAGAAGAAGAAGAAGAAGAAGAAGTACAGTAGTAGAGCGCATATAGAAATGGTCGTCGTATTCGCAGCCACATTCGTCCATGGCTACATTTAGGTAGAGTATACTTTCGACCTGGTGCAGGGTACAAGTATAGGTACTTCTCGTACGAAGGCTGATGAGCCCTGAATCTGATGATAGAGTCCTATGCACATTTTGGCGGTGCCTGTCGTCAGCATTTTACATATACTCTCGCATTACATGTATACGGAGTCTTGACGGACCGTGACTGGGTGCGCGGGTTGCTACTTTTGGACACTTTCACGTCCATCAATTCTTATATAAGGTACCTATATATACGACCAGAAGAGGCAGGCTTGGTGTAAGATGCGAGAAAGCGGTTTCCTGTACCTGTCCCCGTTACATGTACCTGTTACATATTTCGTCGCACATGTCCCATCGAGCAGTATGTCGAGGTAGCATATGACCTCTGGAGTGACTCCTGCACGGGACGCTCTATGAATAGTTCTACAGGACAAGCTGCCCCCCTGAGATGGCTTACCGTAGCCTCGATGGCATAGCAACTGTACCTTACTGCTGTGCTGTACTGTCGCCGTGTCTGAGCCTTTTTTTTCCCCCTCTCCCCCTCTATCCTCTTTCGTTCTGTTGCGCAAGCGTCCTCATGATCCTCGCTCGAAAGCGTGTGCGACGGTGTTACTGATAATTCCTCGCTTGCCCATGCTTGCCTCCTGTCCGTCTCTTACAGTCTGCCTACATATCTCTCGGAGAGTAACTATCTACCTCCGGAGGTAGTTTCGAGTGGCAGCACACGCCTTTCTGGCTCACTTGCCGAAGTCCGAACTGGTGCTAGAATGTGCTCTGGCATCTGGCAATACCGGAAGGGAGGACCTCTCGCGGGAATTCCTCGTAAAATTGTCGCTTCAGGAGGGGCCAATGTTCTGCTGTTGGGAGTTGATCGAGTAATACTTACTCGATAGAATCAACTTGGTGACAGATACTACCCGAGTCGACTGACTCAGGTCAAACTGCCTCCTAGCTAAGGTATCAGATCAAGTGGCCGCGGCCGGCTAAAAACGACGCCAAGGAATGCAAGCCTTTCAACTTCACCATCTCTGCTCTCGTCCTTATCGCACCCAATCTCCCCTCCGATTGGCCCTATCGACGCCTGTTATCGACGACGCGGCCAACATCTGCCTGACTCGCGGCGCTGGTCTTGGACATTTCTATCGAGTAACACACTCATTCACTCTCTCTCTCTCTCTCTGGGAACACTCACACACTCCTGAGTCCTCCTCCACCCTCCTCCTCCTCTCCCGTCACCGTCACCGCCACCGCCATGGACAGTGGGCGGCAAGAACACGCTACTGTTGTCCCTGTTGCCTTCGGTCTCCAGACGGTTGAGGAGACTACTGCTACTTACAATGCATGAGGGAAGCCTTCTCTCCGCCCGGGGCCTCGCTCCATTATCATATGAGTCTGCCCTTATCTGCCGCATGTCCCTCATATTATCATTCTCCTCACTCCGCTTGCATATGCGTGGTTGATCTCACTCCTTGCTTCACTGTATATTCTCACTGCCTGCTTTCTACTAGTCACTCTTACACCGCATCAGCAGCATTCCATTGTTCTTGAGTGGAAGCTCAGTAATCCAGTAGGTAGTCTTTCACTCACAACGCAGATCTCAAACGAACCCACCGAGCCAACCATCCTCAACATGGCCCCTCACGCCACCGGACACGATACACCACAGGAAGTCTCCTCCAACGAAGGCTCGCCTCTGCTCCTGTCAGGTGTCGACGCGTCTCAGATCAGTGTAGTAGCATCCACCCGAGCAGTAGTGGACAACAAACTGTCCGCAGCGACCATTGTCATATCCACCACCACGGGGAAGATTACATCGATATTCGACCACGTGCTCCCCGAATCATCCTTCCCGCCAGGCACACCATACAAAGACCACAGCCCTCATGTGCTGCTCCCTGGTCTAGTGGATGCACATGTACATCTCAATGAGCCTGGTAGAACAGAATGGGAGGGCTTCTGGACGGGGACGCGAGCTGCAGCATTTGGAGGTGTCACTACCGTGGTGGATATGCCATTGAATGCCATTCCGCCCACAACAACCATCAATGGCTTGAAAGAGAAAGTTGCTGCTGCACAAGGAAAGTGCTGGGTGGACGTGGGTTTTTACGGCGGTATCATACCCGGCAATGTCCACGAGCTCAAGCCGCTGGTCAAGGCTGGCGTGCGTGGCTTCAAGGGTTTCCTGATTGACAGCGGAGTGGAAGAGTTTCCCGCCGTGTCATCAACAGACATTCGCCATGTCTTTGAAGAACTCGCAGATGAGCCCACAACAGTCATGTTCCACGCAGAGATGATTCCCCCCGTATCGGCATCCGTGGGAGATGATGTACAATGGTCTTTGCCTCCACTGGAGCCCAGTGGACCTCTGGACAGATATCAGACGTTCCTGGACTCTCGCCCTCCATCGTTTGAAGTCTATGCGATCCTCGAGATTCTGGACTTGGCCTTCCTCGCTCCCAAACTGCCCTTGCATATTGTCCATCTATCCGCCGCAGAGGCCATCCCGATGTTGCGAGCAGCAGTGGCCAAAGGGGTCAAGATCACCGCCGAGACCTGCTTCCACTACCTCAGCTTAGCGGCAGAGAAGATTCAAGACGGAGACACGCGACACAAGTGCTGTCCGCCCATCCGCTCGCAGTCGAATCAGGACAGCATTTGGGCGGAAATGCTCGATTTGGATCATAGCATCATCAAGACGGTCGTGTCGGATCACTCTCCTTGCACACCAGATCTCAAACTCCTACCCGCACATGTTCCCGGCTCACAGCCCAGCAAAGTCGCCAAGGGCTGCTGCTCCTCCACCGCTGCTCAAGGCGACTTCTTCGGCGCATGGGGTGGCATCAGCTCCGTCGGACTCGGACTCAGCATTCTCTGGACCGAAGCCATGCGCCGAAAGATGAGTGTGGATGAAACCATCCTCAACGTCGTCACATGGTGTTGCGCAAACACGGCGAAACAAGTTGGTCTCGAACATTGCAAAGGTCAACTGCAGGTGGGAATGGACGGAGACATTTGTGTCTTTGACGATGCGAGCACCTTTACCGTTGAAGCGAATACGATGCTGTTTCGGAATAAATGCTCGCCCTATGAGGGTAAGACGCTCCAAGGGTTTGCAAGCGCGACGTATTTGCGTGGACGTGAAATTCACACACGAGAAGCGGGATTTCCCACGAGTGAGAAACCGGCGGGTGAATTGTTGTTGGAGCCGAGAAGGCATTGTTGATAGTAGAAGAAATGAACCATCTACCATCTATATCTATATCTCTCCACATCCCAAACAAACTCTTTTACCCTTTACCTTTCTTCTACACTATACTGTAAGTCTAACTCTAGATAGTCCCCAGATCAAAAAAGATTCTTCTAGTCCGATCATCATCAGAGATATACTTCCAGATCCTCTCGACAGTCCATTAGCGTGCTTTGCCATTGAACGAATCAGCTCCTCTGAAAAGAAGAAGAAAAAAGAAGGAGGAAGATGGCACATCTAAAAATAAAAGAGGAAGACGATTGATGAGTGGGGGAAGAAGAAAGTGGGATGGACCTTGTTTCTATTTTTTTTTCTTCCTCGGTTTGGCTTGGTGTAGTGTGGAAGCATTAGGTAGTACATGGATGGGATGGATAGGTGGATAAATACCTTATGATTTGGAATATCAGGTAGGTATTAGGGTTTTGGGTTAGGGAATAGTCAGGTAAGTAAGTACCAAATGATTAATCGGATATCTACAACAATGACAGTAGTAGTAGTAGTAGTAGTAGTAGTAGTAGTAGTATCAAACTATCAATTAACAATAACAGCACAAACAAAAATAGTCCTCATAATCCTTCTCCATCACCTTTCCTCCTACGAGGTAGGAATATCTTCCCAAATCAATCAAAAACAATCCGCTCCACATTTCACTTCCAAAGGGCGATGGGATAATTTCAAAACTTGTTCAACAAGTCGGATCATTTCGCATTCTGTTCCTGTTGTTGTGAAACAAAGAAGGAAGAATTAGATTGTGTTGGCTTTTTTCTTTTCTTTTCTTTTTGTTTTTTTGTGGGGGGGGGGGGGGGGNGGGGGGGGGG